AATGTCGGCTAGGTGAGCTAACCAAGTTCCTCCCAGAAGCACAGAAGCCTCCTGGGGCGTTCGCAGATTTCTTCTAGGAGCGATTTTGTATCAAGTATGATACTGGCTCATTGTGTGTTCATTCCCTTATATTCCAGTAATACTAGAGCGGCTGATTCTTCTATTTTGAGACATCCCCTACAAAGGGACTATCTGTCGAATTGTGAATAGCTGCCGATCCAGACCATATCAGCTCATCTCTATATCCCCTGATTGTTGCAATGCAAATATTAATATAAATAAGTTTATTTGTACATACATACGAATGTTGCATGTCGCGTACCTTTAAACTTTAAAAGTGTTTAATAGGTGTAGTAAAATAATTACTCTTCCCCAACCGCACCTTATATTTCGAAGTTTGAAACCGCAATCTCCCTTGATCGATTACAGTAAACGGAATCGCCCTTGAAAATAAATATGGATCATAAAATCGATTATCCGTTAATATAAACATCGATTGCATGAAATATCTGATGTACAACAGTCTATTAAAGATTGCTCGTAATAGTTAAGTACATTCGTTTTGCACCGTCCTAGGACAAACGCGCAACTTGAAAACTTCTGACTTTTATGTTCTTTTTATACGATTGTCAATGTATGCGTAGCACGAAAGCTGTTTGTATACCTGCTTTGATCATTAAAAAATCTAGACGCTAAAGAGTGTATCTTATTAATGTTTTTTATTTTATTTAATAAGGCACTTTATCATCATTGCCTCTGTGCTACATCTGTGGCCCTTTATTTTATTTCCTCCGGATGGGGCACAGGGTGTTGACAGTAAAATTCCATTACAGTTTTTAACTGAATCGGCTCGTCTAATGACTTACTTTGTGAACCCTTAAAGAATTTGGTTGTTTATTTTAAAAGCATTAAATCTATGATCTAAATGAGTGTTGTTAATGTGTTAGAAGTTGATACTATAAAAATATTATAAAATAAGCTAAATGATATTGATTAATGAATCTTTCTTTAAACTTTTGAGTGAGAAACGTATGTTTTCCTATTCTAGATTATATTACACACTGTAGCTGTTTCAAATAAGCAATTCATTCATTCGTAGATTTTCAATCATAAAACGTAGTAAACATGGCCGAATATTGCATGATGTGGCACTGTGCCAAGTAGTTCTAATTAAGTCCTCTGATAGTTTAGTACCTACTTCATGCCCTTGGAATGTTTAGTTTCGTGCTAATTATTTAAATTAGACCTAAGAGTCTAACACTGTACTACTCTATTATATTACCAAAATGTATTTTTTCGTAATAGTGTAGGTACTAATTTACAATGCCCACTACACATTGGCTTACGCCTTTTTGCCCTTGTAGCCATGGTCCTTGACCATGTGACTCACTGATACCTACCTAAAGCTTTATATAAAAAAGTTTGTAGCAACGTGTACTAACTTACTAATTGCCACAAAACTTTTTTCTCCAACCAGTATAAAGCCGAGTACTAGACACTTATATATATACTCGTATATACCTACATACAGAAACATGTTTAACCATCTTCAAAAAGAGAAGGATATTCTCAATGCAGTTGAATTTTTTTATGTTACCTCAAAACTCCACCATTTATGAATCGATTTCGATTTTTTGTCGGATGGTTCCATTAAAATTTAAAGAAAAAATACCACCCCTAAGCGTGCCAAATTACAGAATAAGAATAATTATTACAATTCATCATGACGTAGGCCCATTAAAGAAGCTGAAACTTGTTTAAAGTTAATTATTTATTGCCTTTAAACATATTATAGAGGAGAAGGAGGAGGAGGTTGTAGGTTCGATTCCCACACAGGACAAATAATTCTGTGATAAACTCAAATATTTGTTCTGTGTCTGGGTGTAATTTATCTATAATATGTAAGTATTTAGAAATATATTATAAGTATGTTTATCAGCAGTCTGGTTACCATAGCACAGGTTCTGCCTAGTTCAGACGGCCGTGTCTGAGATGTCTAAAGTTATTATTAACCTAAGGCTTTAAAACCTACCAACCTCCTCCCATAATAATTAAGATTGCGAAATAACTTATCGACTTTCAAAGTAATTAAAGTACTGCTATTAACGATTCGACGTAGGAAGGCCGCACGCCGTATGCCCCGTACCAGGCACACTTTGATATCTTGCATCACATACCTACATATAGCTACCACTTCCTTACCAAGTTAATATTTCAATGCTATAAACGGGTCACAGTTACGTGATCAAAGCTCATTTGTCGAGATTCACTAACAGCTGTTTGCCTTTGATACCACTTACTAACTTCTAATAAATACTTATGAAGTTACTTCACAAAATTAGTTACCGGTAACTAATTGTCATATTGACTGGGTTTGTACTTTAAAACCTGAAAGTTAATTAAGAATTATTCTATTAAAAATTAATAATTTAATATTAGATTATATTATTGGCAAACATTTTGTTCTTAGTTACATAATTATACATACCTACACACATAAACATTTCACATGCTAGTTTAATTGTAAACGTGATTTAATTATATCTTACACGTAAAGATTTTTGTAATATTTCTCTACTTTTCATTTGTAAGTGACGATATGACAAGTGACAAGACAAAAAATATCTAGTTATCATTTCCAAAACAATCGGATATCCTATTTAAGAGTTGTGTTGTGTGTTGACTAATTAAGAAACGGGTGATTTGTGCCCCCAACACAAAGGGGGATCTTCCGACCAGGCGAGGTGATCATTTCTGACGGACCACGACCCAAGGCACGTTCCGACAAGATTAATGTTTGGAAGTTGTACACAAAGGCACTTTCATTGAGATGCAGGATTATCTGTTACTCCCTAGCTCAGTGTGTCTTGGATGTTAGATAGATAGTTTTGAAGCATGGTTGTACGAGGAAGACGCAACAAGAAATCAACAGAAGTTAGTATTTACATTAACATTTTCTACATAAAAATGAAGAATCTTTTTTTTATTTTTTTTAAGACAACTCCCGCAATAGGAGGACAATCCTGTGTTGCGGGGGACTTTAAAAACATATGTACATGAAACGGACACAAAAACACCCAGACTTAGGACAACAATTTGTTTATCACACAAAGTGATGTCCCCTGTGGGAATCGAACCCACAACACTTAGCGCAGTAGGAAGCAGTGAGGTGACCGCTTAAACCACTACGCGATCCGTGGATTCCAATCTAAATAAATAACATAATCTACCATTAATGTTTACCTACTGTAAAGAAAATATCAAAGCCAAAATAAACAATGTTATCATTAAGTAATCAATCAATAAAATAACCAAATTACAAACATTTCACTAGCTTAGGTAACTTTTGACTTTTACTAGTCTTGAAAGATTGATACTACCGTTCCCCACACTCTTTTATTAAGGCTTTTACTAAGAAAGACTACTCCAAGTGATTTTAAAATGGTTCCGATTGCAGGAATGTATAAATGGTAAGAACATTGAAAAACACTTAATATATATCATCATAAGTCCTAATATCTGTCTTATTTATAAGAATTCAGATACTTTAAGTTTGATTAATGTAAAATATATTAGTTTATGGCGTTTTGTGTTTACATATCTTACGAGAAGGTACCTAATAAATATTGTTATGTGTAGACTAATTCAATTATTATCACAATCTGAACAATATTTCACAACTGATAAAAATCTATCATATGTAAGTATATTAAACATATACTACAAACTATATAATAACTATATAGAAAATTATTAGTTATCGTTGCCTATTAGGTAAACGAGCAGGACACGGTGACACAGCTTTGCCTGGCACCTTTGTCAAAAGATATAAAATGCGAATCGCGTGTGACGACTTATTATTTTTTATTTTATTAGTTTAATCAAAAAGTTGTGTTACAGTGCCAGTATCTTTTGACAATTACTGACTTTCGGCACTAAAGCAGGTTCTCAAGTAGTGTTGCTTTTTTAAAAACCGAAACAATGAATGATGTACATGCGGAAGGAGAATGGTATAAACAGGTAAGTACATTAATGTCATGATACAACAGCTTGTTTGCAAACTATACAAAACACAGGAATATTATTCGCTATGGCAAAGCTAGACAGCCAGGCTGTTTATTTTTTATTTTTCTAAGTATATCATCTAGTACAGGGATTCCCAAAGTGGTCAATATCGACCCTTGGGATAAACAGAAACTGATTTTGGGGATCCACAGGATCTAAAATCGACCTCTATTAATGAACACAAGTTCTGTATGTTTTATTTCAAGATACGGTATTAGTTGTATTACGTGTACCAACTTGTTATAAGAATGACTAATATTTTAGAAGTATCATTGTTGTAATTTAAAAAACTCGGCAAGACCTCAGACCCCACATACTCAAATTACTGCACGCTTTTCGAAAGCGTGCAGTAATTTGACTATGGGGGTCTGAGGTATCAGTTCATTTAAGAAAAGGGGTCTCTTGCCTAAAATAGTTTGGGAATCCCTGATGTAGTAGTTTATAAAAAATAACAAAAGTATTAGTAGTATAAATGATATTTCTACCTAATGATGTTTCTGACATAGGATACAATTATCTTCGACCACAAAGGACCACTCCATAACCAAAGAGGGTCATATACCAAATTTCACCCGAGCGCACACACCCAGCGTTAGACAAAAAAAAATAGATTTTAATTTATTGCATTCATGTATGTACCTACCTATATCTTAACCATAAGTAGGTAAAAAAGTAATGGATTTTACCATATTTAAAAAAAGATAAAAAATATATATTAATACCGTTATCTTGTCATACAGAATCAGCATGTAGTATGTGTCAACACTCTTAGCGTTCGAAAAGTCAGGACGGATTTTATTTTCAAAACAAAGTTAGGTAAACAGTATGAATTATAAAAGGCGATTCCGGCATCACGTCCACAATACCCACTGTTCCATGTTTAAAAAAGCCAGTAAAGCAGAAGCCAAATAGAAAGAACAGATTTCGCGGTAACAATGAATTTCTTAATTGTGACTATAATTTCGTTGGTGCCTTATTCATATGCAGAACTAGACTTTGGACATCGCTGTTTGCTGTTTATGGGTAGTTGTAAGTATTCATATATATATATATATATATATATATATATATATATATATATATATATATATATATATATATATATTTATATGTTTTTTATATATTTAAAACCCGTCTGATTCGTTAGTTAGTTAATTCACTTATCAGCTTTCTGTGTAGTTGCAGAAATTAACAAAAAATATAGGCACAATCCACATTACTTATTGCTAGTCTGCAATTTATGATTGATGTTTTATATAAACCTTTGTCTAGTGCCCGGTGTATTTCTTAACAGTTGTCATTAAAAATGTGACAAAAGAGCAGCCGCCTTGGTTCCTCTTTACACTGAAGTTTTGTGTTTTTAGGTGTTGATCATTGTCCACGGATGATGCACCCATACAACACTCGGTGTGACGGTGATACAGTATCGCAACGGACTTGTAGTAACCCAGAAGTAAGGATTTTAGGTAGGTAAATATTTCCCCTTCTATATTTTCGATTTATATTACTAAACGATATTCAGGGTTGATTTATGTTGTAGCGGGTCGAAACCCGGCTCTGTCCCGGTGACACTGTTAAACGTTACATTGACTAATATGATGAAGGCGAAAGTTTTTCGTTTGTAACGGTTTCACGCTTTAAATACTAACTAACACCGATCATAATTAAATTATGCTAAGGTGTATATTGCAGGAAAGGACATAGACCTTTCAGGCAAAAGAACAGCTACGGAAAAGCTAGTAGCTACTATGATTTATGTTCGCCGGCATAAAAAAAAACTATATTAGCAACAAGGTTTAGTCTGCAGCTTCGGTGGCGTGAAAGGTGTTTTTCCATTCTTCGGGAACAGTGACAGTAGTCAATAGCAGTATGAAAAGCCAAGCCTATCGTAGTAGGAAACAGTGTTTAAAGACATTTGTATATAATAGCTATAATATTGTGACTTAAAATCCTTTGAACAGATGAGAACAGTGCTAATTCTGTTGTTCGAAAAAATCACAAAAAAATTGTTAAGTCCTGACAAATACTACGTTTTCAGAATACGAAACGTTATTTGACAGGACTAAACAAATTTCTAGTGATTTTTAGTTTATTTTAGAGAGTTTTCGAACCAATATGGCATCCTATCGATTATCATTATAGGTCATCGCTCATGAGCTAATACCCGGAAAAGGTTTAAAAGAATGAAATTCGTTTCCAATAACGAAAGTTATATACTCTCTTACTTACTTGCCTTTTCTCTCAACACTATTAATTACAAATAATTGTTTATCGTAATGTAATTATCATTATTATGTGTTATGTTATGACACACTTTGATAAATTTTTACAGGATTTACTTGTGGCTGGTCGCGATGCGACTGCAACGGAGACCTTTTACTAGATGAAGAAAATGGACTTTGTGTACCATTTAAACAATGTACCACACCGTTTAACCCCAGGTTCCGTCCCAGGCCAGGGTCCGACAGGCATCAACCACCGACGAATACCAGAATAAAAATACCCAGCCACGGAATAGAAGACGACAGGACTACACTTTAGAGAAATAAAATTAATTAATCTTACAGCATTTTTTTTAAGTATCTTATGTTTTGACTAGAAGTTAATTTTTAAACTATCACGTTCTATCTAATATATATTTAAAATGTTCAGTTGGTTTGTGTACGCTTCAAAAACTCAAAAAGTTCTGCATCGCTTTAGCTCAAATTTTGACACGATATACACTACGCCTTAAATATGGTTTTTATCTATTGTTTGCGTGTCACAGCGAAATGTGGCAAGGTACAGCTAGTAATATATAATTATGACTACAGGCATTAACGCGTTCACGATATGTATTAAGTCATCCTGTGACCACGGCCATGGAATCTCGTTGAAACGTCGGGCAATTCAATCGTATTTATGTAATACCTTTTTTAGGTTTAGGGTTTATTTCAGCCCTCCGTCAAGTTGTGCAGGCCAAAACTAAAGAAGGCCAGCGGCATACGTAACGTGCCTATGCTATTGAGTTACGGGGCCAAATGAAATTGTGACAAGAGAATTTCGAATTGTTTTTATTCACAGTTAATTATAAATTTAGGATTGTTCACTATAAAACTTTGACAAGGTAACTAACAAGCAAAGTACAGTCGACCGCAATTTGTTTAGTACAACTATAACGGGCGGTTTCAGGACAGTGAAACCGTTTTTTAAATTTTTGTCCCGATAACATATTACCTAATAAACATACTGAAAAAAAGAGAAACTCATTATTTTAATACAAATGTACTAATGCAGTGATGTGATATGACTCAGTGTGAGAGCTTGGGTGTGTTTAAGAAGAGCTCTAAATTCGGTTTTACAAGAACGGTAAATGCATTTGTCCCAAAGCTTTTGATTTATCACTATTATAATTAGTTTTAAAGTCAAACCTTAAGTGAATCAGTTTTGGGGCATAAAAACCAACGCTGCTGCCTGTTAATATTTATCACACACAGTTTAACTCTTGAATGAAATGATTAAAGTGTTTAAGGTCGCAAAAAAATTAATGGAAGAAGATTGTTGACTAGACCTATCAGGTTATGAGTTCGCACATCTGGACACAGTTCCCTTCTGTGGAATTCGGTAAATCCGACACACTGGGAGAAGACGAAACTACTTCACTGGTAAAGCTATCTAGCTGTGAGGTTATGCGGGTCAGTATAAACGTTCTTCCGCAACCGAAACTGGAACCAGCTGAAGCTAACTCTTTCTGAAACCTGAAACAAACATTCGAGTACAAGGAACAATTCTCTGTAATCAAGTACGATATACGATCCAGTTTACAAATGGAAATGACACTACTGATCAAACACCATTCATTATCAAGACAAAGACAGACAAACAAATAATCTTAGTGATGATCTGAGCACCGTCATTTTTCAAACCTATCGATTAGAAGAAAGTCGACATGCAGCACGTTATTGTCATTTTGTGTATTTTTATACATGTCATAGAAACTAAATATTACGGGACAGTCGGATTGAAAGGCTGCCTATCTTATAATGGAACTTGTGAGTATATCTTTGTTTCAAAATGTTTAGAAGGTAATGCTTAAAAATCTTGCTTAAACTGTAACTCTTGGGATAAGAATGTACACTTAACAACAAAAATAGCGCTACACCCACAGATTTAGAGAAGTTTCTTAATCATTCTCCGAGGAGCGATTCTATCAATTTACACTTTATCTAATAGTAAGGAGTTATTGTTACAGTGGTATGTATAAGTTATTTAGGTTTCTGACGGTATGTTATACACCTTTTTTTTTTTTTTTCCGTGCGGAAATCCCCTCGGATACCACCTGTCGGTGGCATGTCGGATTCGAACCGACTAAAACCGCACGCCTTCGCCGGGTACTAATAGCCGGGGAACCAGGTATACCCTAGAAAGGAAGTCCCTAGTGCCCCGACATACCTCGGGTCATCTACAGACGAGTAGACGACCCCCCCCGTGTGGGAACCCCATGTTCCCTGTGCTCCCTGGAAGCGAGCGCGCTTCGCAACGCGCTCGCCGCCACCCCGGCCTGATTCTGCTAGGGTGACAGATGGCCTCACCTGTCACCCCCAGGCCTGCGCTTATGGAGGACGGAGGTCGTTCTGCGACCTCCGGCGCCTGAGTCGCCTGCGCTGCCTGGCCCGTGCCCGGGCCTGGCGGGCCGGGAGAGTTCTAAACCTCTCCCGGTCCCGCTCCGCCGTCTCCTTCGCGAGCATAACTTGCTCGCAGAAGGAGACGGCAGAGTTCCACGCACTCTCGCTCCGCACGATAGCCGCAATCAGGCTATCGAGCGAGAGAACTCCCACTCCGATGGCCGCCACGAGGTCTCGCCTCTGCTCAACCCACGCCGGGCACTCTGCCAGCGTGTGGAGAGCCGTGTCCACGGTCTGGCCATCGCAGTGGTGGCACTCAGGCGTTGGCTCCTTGCGGATCAGACACAGGTGATCTCCGAAACATCCCTTCCCTGTGATCACCTGCGTCAATCGGTATGAGAGGGTCCCGTGACGCCTCTCGAGCCAATCCTCCATAACGGGTCTTACCGCCGCAATGACGGCGTGCCCGGCGCTCGGTTGCCCGAGTCGTTCCCTCCCCTATGATGACCTGGCGGAGTTGGGATTTCCGGTCATCGATTTCTCGAATCTCGGGGCATCGACCCAACTCCTGCGCCTCCTTGCGCCACTGATACAGAGCCGCAAGGGCTCTCGCCTCCAGGTCTAACGGTGGAGTTCCGGCCAGGAGACTCGCCGCCTCAAAGGAGATCGTGCGGTACCCCCTTATGACCCTGATGGCCAGCATTCGCTGCGGTCGTCGCAGTATCGCGACGTTGCTGGCCTTCAGGGCCCCCGCCCATACTGGGCACCCGTAAAGGGCCATGGACCGCACAACCCCCGAGTAGAGTCTCCTGCAGGAGTCATCGGGTCCCTTCATGTTGGGCAGCAGCCGCGCCAACGCACGCGCTGCCCCAACCAACTTGGGGACCAGACCTCGGAAATGATATCCGAAGTCCCATCGGCCATCGAGTACGAGCCCCAGATACCTGATCGAGGGCTCGATGCCGATGCGAGTGCCTCCTCCAGGGTTGCCTCGTGGTGCGTCTTGCCGCGCGCCGTCACGAGTGTGTCGTCTGCGTAGCACACGACGGCGACACCATCCAAGAAGGCACCACAGTTATGTTATACACCTCATTTAAACAATACCATTATAGAATTACGCCTCTCCTTACGTTTTACCTATTTCTGTAATAATTTTTTTTTTTATAACTAACTAACACCGATTATGGAAAGTATAAAATAAGACATGAATTGACCCTGACATTCTTCTTTATTAACTATTCAATATTTATCATCTATGTTTATATATCACATATTGTAATACTATAAAATGCATTGTTGTGTAAAAACCCCTTTCATCACATCACACATCATCATCAACAGCCTTTAATAGTCCACTGCTGGACATAGGCCTCTCCTCAGAAAGGAGGTTTTGGCCTACTTTGGTTGGCAGTGCTGTTGTCCTGCGTAGTTTGGTCCCTTAGTCGCCTCTTACGACACCCCACGGGATGAATATGGTGACACTCTGTATTCGTAATCCGTCACCACACGTATTCTTTTCTTTTCATACCTAACATAAAACCGTATAATATATTTTACTGTCCTAATTAATGTCGGTATTTGTTTATTTTTTATGCTTTTCTGTGTTGATTCCTACGTACGCATGACTGTGCCCTTACGTTTCTCTGTTGTCCTCTATTCGCTCAAGGTTTGCTGGAAGAAAACTCAGTTTTGGGTTAAGCTCGCATTTGTACATGACATTTCCTTGTTACTTATATATATGTATGTGTTCAGTGTGTACAATAAAGAATAAATAAATAAATAAAACCTTACTTTTTTTAATACCATCGGTCCATTAAGACACTTCTAAAGATTAATCATACTATCTAAAGTTATAACTATCCTTTTGGCTTCGAGGCAGACAGATAATTAAACATATTATACAAAACGTTATATACGTTTTTTTTAAATTGAACTAGTTTTCTTAAAATGCCGGGTTCTTTAAAGGTACCTAAATAAATATTAGGTACCGAGTAGAGGTAACATTGTACTTTTCTTGCAGTTATTTTTACTAATTAATTTAAAATAAACCATACGAATGCAGACTATACACTGCTTGTATATACGTTTTATCAAATTAATTTGGAGAATCATAGCTCTCAATAACTCTGTGAAAAAGAGTATAAAACATTTACCGAACACCTTGGTATTTTATTAAAATTGTTTTTAAACATAATCAGTTATTTACGTCTTACGAGAAATATTATTTTGCTTTATCTGATTTTTTTTTGTAATATTTTCCTTTGTCTGAGAAAACCTTAAAAGCTTCTTACTTGTTAACGTGCTCAACGCCTGTCTTCTGATAAGGTTCTACTCTCTTAATATACAGATTATCCCAAATATCTCCCAATATATGTATAATCCCTGTTCCTAAGCTAGAGGTTTAGCATTCTGAATCAGCTATATACTCACTTGTTTGTTTTCTGTGGTATAATCTAATTACAGAGCTCGATCCAGCAAGACTAAATATTTAGTGAATTTGAGAATTACATTGTGCGCTAGTGTAATAAAGTGGTAATTTAGTAGTAAATACTTAGGTAAAGTCAACACTTACAAAGTAATATGTTCTAGTAGTTCTGTAGGTTATTGTGAACCATAATATAATCTGTTGGTCTAATAATCTTTAACTATTATTATGTAAAACCTCTGCTTATGTAATGTATGTACCTATGTATCTTGTTTTTAAATTAGTAACTTCCAAACTCCCTGATCCTGACTGCTGTGTCAAAAGCCGTAAATCCGATACACATCCATTACAAATAATTCAACTAGCTCTGCCTGATAATCGTTTGTGAGATATGACAAGTTATTATCATTATTATTAATTAGAATGCGATTACAAAACATTTCAGGTGTATCAGAATGTCCCGAAAATATGCATCGTTTAAACAGCGAGTGTCGTCCGACTCCGTCGCAACGCACTTGCGACGAACCAGTCGCAATATCCATGGGCATAATTTGCGATTGGTCGAGGTGCGACTGCGATTTCCCTTTCGTGTTACACCTAGCTTCGGGGTATTGCTTCCTCTACGAAGATTGTCCTGATTTGATTTCTCCGCCGAAATTTGGTTGAATTTAATATGCGCGAATGATGTTGTTATAAGAAATAAATTATTATTTTTGATTTGTGATTTATTTATTCAGACATAGGGTAAAATCTACTTTACGTTAGGATACTTTATGCATGATATCTTTGATATATATTGGTGTTATTTTTATTTAACACCACCCTTACATTGCTTTTGCATTAATATTGTCCACAATCACTTAACTAGATACTTACTAAAGTTTCGTTACCAAAATATTCAAACAGATGAAAAGACATAATAGTATACATACTATTAAACTTAAAAGTATTTTGTATCTTTTTAGGGTTCCGTACCTCAAAAGGAAAAAACGGAATCCTTATAGGATCACTTTGTTGTCCGCGGCCGTTTATGCCGCAAAAAACGTTTCTTTCGACACTCTCAAGGGAATCAAAATTTATAAGATATTTTCCGTTGACCCAGAACTATGAAATTTTGTAATACCGTCTTATACTAAAAGTATCTAAAATCTGAAAACTATACATTTGTAATTAAATTATAAAAAAACAGGGTCTGTGCAAGGAACGGCGCGGCGGCGGCCCAAATTTTGAATTTAGTTAACCGTGTCATGTCAAGTAAATAAAAAACTATTTTTGATAATTTAATTTAAATTAATCAAAAAAAAAACCTACAAATTTTTTATAAGTAATATGTAGGTAGCTACACTTTTGCCCTTGGTGGGCGAGCCCTATTCGCACTTGTCCAGTTATTTTTCTATCTAAGACGAGCAGACGAGCAATCGAGCCACCTGCTGGACGAACCGCCGGCCATGAACGCCTGAAACTCAGAAAACACGTTGCCGGCCTTTCAGGAAGGAGTACTTTCTTTTCTTAAAGGTTTGAAGGTCGTATCGGTCCAGAAATACCGCAGACGACAACAATTTCCACAGATTAGTTGTGCGCGTCAAAAGTGTCTTGAAAAGCGCACAGTGGTAGAGCGCCAATTATCGAGGATAATTTTTTTGCCCATGATATAATATAAGCTCCATGATATAAACGATAGATAATGCACTACTACTGCTACTACTGATAAACGTAATAAACTTTACATAAAACTTTTAATAAACGTCACATATACGTTTTGCATTTTTCTTATATCAGATAAGCAGAAAGATTTTTTATCATAATTCTTTTTTTATTCTTTGTAGTGCGCTATTATTACAATGTGAGCAACGGGTTTGTTATGACTTTACATGTACCATCCTAACGCTCTCAAGCTATGAGTTAGGTAGTGTCATAATTTAATTATGTGTATAATGCGTATTTATAAACAGTGGTATATGAAATATAATTATATATTCCATATAATTATTAGTCCGCATAAATTGAACAATAAGAAGCCACGCAAGAAACCTTGACCTGCAACATACGGAACAGCCGTGAAGTATGTGGGTACAACTTTTTGCAATCAACTCTGACTATCCTTTCACACCGCTGGGTTTTTTTTCTATTCAATAGTCAAGTGTAAGACTTGATAAACGAGATCCCCATTAGTGCTATATTTATTTAAATTGACTAGAAAACAAACTTATGATCTAACATACAGATGCCTGCCATCATCCGCGCCGAACTTGTAAAATTTTTTAAAATAAATTCTTCTAAGTGACAGGGGGCTACTTCTTCCGGTATTTAAATGTCCGAAGTAATGATTAGTCAGACACCTAAAGTACTTCATATATTTTTACTGTGATGTAGTCCTTTCGAGATAATTTCATTGAAACCGAGTAGAACGCTGCCGGCGTTAGACAGCAGAAAGTGGCTGTTAGTATCATGTGAAAAAGGTTTAGAAGCTGAGCTGAGCCTCAGGTCTTAGGTCTGCTTCTGCTATCGAATTTAAAATGATCTTCTTTGTATTGACAATATGTTAAAACATATTATGATGATCATCTACATGCATTTTTCTCGAATTTATTTTGAATGGGCGCATTTTTGATTGGTTTCTTTTATGGAAGGCGTCTGCTTTATGATATCTTTCCTTGACTATATAATTGTGTAACCAGACACGATAAGAAGTAAATTAAAGTTATAAAGAACGAACAGGACGTGGGACCTAGGCTCCAAGGGATACCGCAAATCTTTGATGGAAAGCACACCTAAGACTGCAATAGCTCGAAGAGGTCAGGGTTGCACATCCTCATATTCTTTAGGTAATCGGAGGAGCCATGAGGGTCAGAACAGTAACTTACGTTATAGAAACTTATCAAAACGTATAAAAACGGCTGATATAGTGCCTCGTGACTAAGTCGTAACTGAATAGGTTATAACAGATTGCAAAGTTAATCAATCCAATCCTAGCCAGGTCAGTTTATATGCGTTCGATCGGTGACCATTCTAAACACGTTGAGACCCCTTGACCTCGACCCGGTAATCCCCTTTGCAATCGGTGGTTGGAGCCCTAAAAAATCCGTCAAAAGTGTTCTTAGTACTTGGGTAGTGCAGGTCTGATGGCAGTCGCTCCACTTAAAACATCGAAGTTCAGCCGTATCGTAGTAGAGTTAAAACGAACCCAACCTAGTTTGGGAAGAGGCTCGGAGGAGACAGTCTGTTCTCGTATTTTTTTAATACTAACTTAATTACGATGTCCAGAATTGTACCTTTCAATGCGTATCAATTATGTTTTCCTTCTTGTTTCAGGTACACTGGACATTGTCCGATGCTGAAGTTCCGCTTCGGAAAATGCTACGGAGATAACACACGACAAATACTAAAAGAAATACGAACAAAAGGACTATTCAAGTAAGACTTTTATGTATCTTAAATATTCCGTCAGGCATCATACAGGGCGACTAGTTTTTTACGACCAACAAATTATTCTAAATGACGCTGACAAAAAAAAACACCTCGACGGCCGGCCTCAGGCGCCCTATTCTGGGGAGGACTCGGACCATGTGATTTCAGCGCCCCCCCGGATCCACTCCGCACCTATCCCGCCGCCGCCCTATCCCGATGGAAGCCAGGGTCTTCTCCCCGCCTATCACTAGATCTAGAAGCCCGGTTGCATTTTGGTGCAATCAGGCCGGGCCGCCACCATGCCCCTTACCGCAGTAATCAATCTACCACCAGAGGTCTCTACTCTCTGGCCCCGTCGACGTCTTACATCGCCGCCGAAGTCCTCTACACTCGGGATCGGCCTAGAAGCTCAAGTTACAGAATTTGAGAAAGTGAATCTGCATACATTAAGATTGAAAAGCAACGGTGTACGATGTTACCTTGGAAGTGAAAACGAGTCTAGTGTTAGTGTGTTCGACACAATGGACCATTGTGCGTGTAAGTTATAGATATTAGCTGCTGAAAGGCTTAAACAAGTTTTAAACATATTTGGTGCCTTAAAAATGTTAATGGACTCAACAACTACGTTGTTTCTTTTTCTATAGATACTTCGAGTCCATAAATAAACATAGAATAAAAGTAGTTTAAATATATTAACTGACTGGTTTCTATTTCCTACTTCAATTTCAAAAAAAAATGTTATATAATAGTGTTTATGTACAGACCTTATATGCAATATATTTTAACATAATATATAATATATATATATTTCTTTTTCGGACGCATGACACACAACGCCCTCTAGTTTCGCACTAAGCATAGCTTGTACTATGAAAGCCTATAGAATACCTACTTATATACTTTTTTTATAAATACATACATATTTTACATAGAAAACACCCAAACTCCGAAACAAATAATTCCAGATCACACAAATATTTGGGTCCGACCCGGGAATCCCGGGACCCGAGACCTCAGCACAACTGTCGCATACGCTCCCACTGCCCCACCAAGGCAGTCATAACAATAGCTATCACTCTTGAAAATGCTTTCCGTAACTTCTCCCAACTGTCCTAGTCTTGGAGTCATAGCTACTCACTTAGTAAAAAAAAGCTGAATCATATTATTAATAAAGAGAAAAAAGAAATCCAACCTAATGTAGCGAATTACACATGTTGTGAGAAAAGGAAATTTCGTGTCTGCGTAATCCTTTCAAATCCTTTCTCTAATTAAACTACGTACCTACCTTTGTTATCCTATTACGTATTCTTTTATCTCTTTAGTAATTCCTTGAAGTACGAAATAAGTTTATTCTGTGTATACTTACATGATTTCTTTAGGAGAAAAAGGTGTATAATATAATTAATCTCACATAATGAAGAATACCTACTTATTTACAAGTTTAAGTACCTTGGGCACCTGGTCGCCGATGACTTATCAGATGACCTTGATACTGAGAGGAAACGTAGGGCGCTGTCTGTCCGGTGTAACATGTTGGCTCACAGGTTCGCACGTTGTACCACACCAGCCATGGTAAATACTACTTAGTAAGAAAAAGAAGTACGCTTTTCAAAGCATAATGTCAGTCCTTCTTCACGTGCAGCCTGTGGACTAACTTTGTTGAACTTTATGTATAATTAACATAGTTGTAAAATTATTGTTACTAACACGTTTATGGCCTAATGTCTGAAATAAATTTATTTATTATTTACTTGTCGATTTAGTGACTGCTTGCTTGATCGTTGTCATGCTTTTCTATTACTATTTTACAACATAACGGAGCAGTTGATGATAGTTTCCATTCAATTACGTGAAACATCTGTGTAGTCCGTTTAATGGTGTCAATTTTTAACGTCCTCTCGCGGGACGCCAAACTTGCTACATTATAGCAATCTGTGGTATAAAATAGTCAAAATAGTGTGAAGTCAAAACTTATTTACAAACTTACTATTTTGTATTAATTTAAACTACCATAGTCATTTTCACTTGAAAGTTATTTTAAACGGGATATTTACTGTGTTGGTTTTCGGAAATTGGTTGATGAACTGGGTTCACGGATGAGTTAGACCATGATCATGGATGGCGCTTGCAACACTGCCGGAAAATCGGAAACAAATTCCGGCAAATAAACATGTTAAATATCGCGTTTATACTTAATAACCTATTAAGTAATATATTGTTCAACTATTGCTATTACTATTAGTTTATACCAAATTTTCTTATTTTCACAGTAAACCTCTTGAATACCGCCCACGTGACAACTACGAACTCGAACGCCTTCCTCGCCACGACCAACCACAAAGGGACGTTTACGACGGTATTCGAAACAGACCAACAGCTCACATGACTGGATATACAGGTTATGTACCTGGGATGAACTTTAGGTAAATTATTGAACAATTTATTGTTGACGGGCCTGTTGGTTTAGTGGTTAGTGACCCTGACTGCAAAGCCGGAGGTCGTGGGTTCGATTCCCACCCACGACAAATAATCGTGTGATGAGCACGATGATTTGTTCTGCGTCTGGGTGTAGTTTATATATGTTATGTATGTTTTTGAAATATAGTTAGTATGTTTAGCAGTAGTCTGGTTACTATAGCACAGGCTCTGCTTAGTTTGGAATCAGACAGCCGTATGTGAGACGTGTGTGTAAAGTTATTATATCAAGATACAGTCCTATTTTCATACTGAATTTATTTCCTAGCAAGCAAGCAAAAAATATAGAGATCATAGCTATGATCTCTATATTTTTTTTAAATGGAAATATATATTTATTTATTAGTACCTAGTTACGTTTAATTAATTTTTATTAGAGTTCCGTTAGTATTAACCTCTATGCCCACTGTTAGTCTTCTGTTCACTAAGATCCCTTCGTTGGTTAGTTTATCGCACTGTAGCTCAAACTGAACTGGATGACCGCTGAAGACGTGCCCGTATTTATACTACTCGTAAGGCCATTAGGAGGTTAATTTTAAGAACTTCTAATCCTTATGAGAACTGTCGGTTTCCGAGAAATACAAATTCAAATACAAAATATTGTTATGAAACTGATCCATTTTTATTAGTCCCATTATTATTAGAACAATTCCTGGAGTTGCGTGGTTAAATGAACTCCCTCTTTCTTTCTTTTCGTGATATTTCGTACTATACCCTCAAGAGGTCTGGACACCTTTTCGGGATTTCGATGTATATACATACCTATGTATATACATCGAAATCCCGAAAAGGTGTTTTCGGTGTGTGTGTGTGAAAAGAATTCTGTTGGTAATTACCTAATTACCAACAGAATTCTTAAAATTAAACGCTATTAAATCACCCATAGTTTGTCGACTATCATTTTTACGTTATTGGAAGAACCTATTGCCGTAAAACCGACACTAGCAATCAAATAAGAATATTTTGAATAGGTATATTGAAAGGTACTTTAACTAAAACTAACTATTGTCTCTTTCTTGACTTTAACTCTGAGCAACCTTGGTATATAGGTTAAGTATACTTGCAAACACAATTCAATTGTAATTCTAAAACGTAAAATTATCTTCCAACCGAGAAGAAGACACAGTAAGTTAAGTAGTGTAGGTAAACAAATTATATTGATATAAACAAAACATCAATAATACGAAATACGATTCGTTACAAATAATTTGATTTCTATTCATCGGATTACCCATAATTCGATTATGACTTAACTTATTTGTTGGGGTAACGTGGTTAGGTAAATAAATAATATTATTATAAGTAAAATACATGAATATTATAAGTAAAATACATTATAGGAATCATTATAAATACATTAAGCCTTATTATGTTAACGACTTGGTTTGTTTGGGCGGGCTTACACCCCTGTACCCTGAATGTACGGGTACTGTGGCTCATTGCGAATAAGAATACTGTTAAAATGTGTTATCAAAAACCGGCAGTTCGCATGCTGGATTCGTTCTGAAGCTTTTGTACTATTCGGAAGTAATAAGTGCTTGAGGCAGATTCTGTAAAGTATCGCTGCTACTTACACTAAAATTTAGTAACAATTAGTCTGAACTAGAATTTAAACTGTGTGCGGGACTGATATGTGCCGATAATATATGGCTCCTGTGTCAGAAGGCCTATTACTCCTGGATTACGTAGAGGACAAGAATGCTTGAGATTAATTTAGCATGGGCTATTTTAGCAGAGGCATGGCTTAAATAGAAATGTAGTATGGGTTAGATAATTTTTCCATTTTTGATGTTTTACTTCCAATTATATTCCATCTTTTTCCTTTATCATGTTTTCTCTTCTTTGTAATATAAGGATTATGATGCGACTGTATCTAGCTGTGATCAAAAGAGAGTGGCTAGGAATGTGTTTGCCCATTCTTCTCATAAGGCTCAATCCCTTCGAAAGGGGTGCTTGTAGATCGGTGCAGGCTCATTATACGCCTGTGTGTCTACAACAACGATCCTGCCTGATGGTCGGTGCCTGTCTACGATCTACAATCCATTATAATAATGGATTGACTTCATTTTGCTAAATATTTGACAAAACAGATTTTTGCTTTTGTAGGTGTGTTGTGTGACTGAGTATACATAAAAGATAATTTCAAATAATTTTTAATTTTTTGTTTTATTTATTTTTTCAGTTACGGCAAATCATACGGACGAACAGCAGATGACTGTATGGCTAATTTCTCTGAAAGGCAACGTGAACTAAGACGTAAGGCGGATTTCAACAAAAGTTACGTGAGATCTCGAAGTGCGCCAAAAATGGAAACAATACATTCGAGGGATGAAATTCGAAGAGATCTCAGTCGATTTAGGGAAATAAACAAATATAAAGGTGAGTCATTTACTCGTACAAGGCCTTTGACTAAACAAATCATAGTTGTGTGTCTATTATTATTGTCTATTATTATTATTGTCCGTGTAGTGACGGATTAAGAATACGGAATGTCACTACCCCAATTCATCCCGTGGGTGTCGTAAGAACCGACTAAGAGCGCAAAACAACGCAGGACACTAGAGCACTGCAAAAAGACGGAAAACTTGACACAAACCCTATACCAACCCGCCTGGCCAGCGTGGTATAGTAGGCCAAAACCTTCTTTCTAAGGAGAGGCCTATGTCCAGCAGTGGACTATTAAAGGCTGTTGATGTGATGTGATGATGTGTCTATTATGAGTAAGTGACGCTACATCTTAAAGTTGACAATTACTTACTGTTTAGAAAATCATCTAATATGCTTTGGTTATTAAAAATTCAAATCATTAACTGAAATAAACTAAGTGTCGAATTGGAGTGTTACAGGGGTCTTACCTAGGTCTACATTTCAAATTTAGGATTTTTTTCCACATTTAAATCGATAATTAGAGTCAGAATTGTTCATAATTACCAATAAAATTTTCTGTTTCACATCAAATATCAATACACACATGGGATCATAGTAAGCGTAGGGACTTTCCAAATGGTACGACCTTGTGAGAAGCAATAGGGTAACCATATTCACGGCAACTGTTATAACGATATTTAGTAAATCGTATCACATTATTTTGTAGTACGCTATTATTATATTATTAGTATTAACACCTTTACATTGTATCTTCTTACTTTATTCACAGAAAACACAATATCGCCAGAATTTCCGCCGATTGCGGGCTACACTGGTCACATACCACGCATCAAAGGTTCAGAAGCGTCGCTCAGTCAAAGATATCACTGTGCAGCTAAGCGTGGTTTAGAATTAATAAAGATTGAAAAAGAGAAGCGAAAAGAGCTTCAAAATGCTAACGCAAACGTCAAGGCCATACTGAAACGAGATGATAAAAAATACTCCTATTGGAACTGGGGATAGCATACCGCCAGAAGAATGTTTTTCCACAAATGTCGGTGAACATTCTTCTATAAAAAGAAACGAACAGTATTTTCTTAGCAAAAAAATAAATAAATATAAGTCAGATACTAGAAATAGATATTTATTTCATAGCTTTATAGGCCTATTTTCTAGGTACAGAATAATTATAAAAACGTAGGTGGTTAGAGAAAATTTACAGAGGTTTATCCTGCACGTCCTGTTGTCGTGTTCCGTGGAGTTTTTCTAAGAATATGAACGGAAATATTTTTTATCTTATAAGTAATTGTTCAAGTTGTGTGTTCCTGAGAAAATGTGATGAATTCGACATTTTAAAATCATGGTTAATGAAATATTTTTTTCACTTACAACTTTGCACAGATCTAGATGCATTCAAAGAGTATTTTACCAATACTTCTAATTTGACAATGCTTATAGTACAAACGATAGCTTTTAGTTTCCTGTTAAAAAGAAAATTAAACAAGATAGTTAGTAATACTTGTTTTATTAATATTATATTTTTATAAAATATATCTTTAATTTAGAGATAAAAAAAAACAAATAACATGCGAGCATGTTTATTTTTATCCGATAATACATTTATCATTTTTGGTTTTAAATATAACTGGCTGCAAATAATTAACCATAGACAACTAATATGGATATAGTTAAATCTGTCATGTTTTACACGACTATGAAATATCTCTATTCTAACTTAAATAAAACTAAATAGTGTTGGGATATTAACTTACATTAGTTAAATTTTTTTTTTACATAATTATTTCTACGTATTCTGTCAATGAACTTTACTTGAATATAAAATAACAATTATCCTTATATTTTATTAATTACAACTAAATACAACTCTACATAGATATTGCTTTAAATTAATAAATGTTAAGATATGTTTTAATAAAATTACAATGTTACTTATTTTTCTGGTTAGGTTAACGGTGGGTAGTGGTAGTACCTGACACTGGTGGAAGTGGTAAAATGATTTCTGCAGACTTAAGACTTCAATTTCCATTTGCATTTGAAGCAATAGTGACATGATAATTGTTGATTATACTTTTTTATTAACAAAATCTGTAAATTAATAACTAAAACATGTATATAACATTCTAAGCATAGATAAGTCTAAAAATAAGGCACATATTATATCAATCTTGTTAGAGAGAAAAATTAACAATCATCCGCCATCTATCTTAAAAAGAGGTTATGACAAAATGAATATTTTACAGATAATAAACGAACGTTGTTTTACTGTTTCTTCGTTTTTTAATTCGTATGAACAGCGTAAAATGGAACATGGAAATTGTGTTCAAAGCTTTATTTTGTTATAATGAATAAGCGTTTATTTTTAGCGTGTTCTACATAGAAATTCAAAGAGAGAGAGAGCATTTAGTTGTAAATATTATGAGTTTCCAGTCGTATAAACCTTATGTCAAAGTTATAAGGAATACCTCAGTTCGGCTCGAAAGATCAAAAGACGAGTGCTTGTTAATGCATTTAGTAAGAACATGTTTTCAAATGTAAGCCTAAACGACCATACTCCTATCTCGTAAATCAACTATATGCGACGGCAACTAATGGGCTACTTACACATGAGCAATATTTCCGAAAAAATGAAATAATCATTTTGCGGACAAAGGATTACTACTGAGGGCAATAAAACAATACAAGAAACCGCGAAAATAGTTGCGATAATTGCGATACGCATTCGAATCTATCTGAGTTTAGTTGGCCACAAATTTTTGATCACGCTAAACATGGGCCTAATACCTTTGACATGTAGTATTCTTGCACCTTTAGCATACAAGAAAAAAGTTTTTTTTTTTAAATAGTAGCATAATATATAATACTGTTTACAAGCTTTGTAAACTTAAGATTTAAAAAGCGCTCAAATAATATTCGTACTTTCATAATAATTATTATTATTACATACATTAACATTTAAGCAACACATTGTTAGAAATTACCTTCTTATACAAGAACATTTATTTAGGTTAAAGTACCAGTAGGGTTCTAAAAGATACCTACAACAAACTAAGTATACTAGATAATTAAAATAATCTTTTATTGCTATTGCTGCAAGGGCAATCGAAGAGTTAGGCGTATTATTATATAACTAGCTGGTACCCGTGACTTCGTTTAAGTGGAATTTGGAAAGCGCTGCCTTAGTGGGTTCGATTTTAAGACCATTTATTTTAAAGGGTTTTTCTGAGAGAAAAAATTGACTAAGTTACTCCTTATATACTACTAGCTACCTGGTAGTAAAATATTATCAAAATAAATTTAGAAAATCAAGTTTAGGAAATTCCCCGGAACAGACAGACAGACAAAAAAGAAATAAATTGGTGTTTAGGCATAGGTATCGTGCAGATAACCGTGTAAGCATAAAAAACCTATTATTTTAACATTACAAACAGACACTTCTATTCTATTTATTTGTATAGATATGGAAGACATTGAATTCAAAACAAACGAATGCATAATTGAATTTACAAAGAGCAACAAGTTTTCATTAGCTGCACTCATTAATTATTTGTCTAGTAAAAAGTTTATATTTTATCTAAAATGTTGAATGTCGAAATGGAAAGAGAAATTGTTATATAAATCTTTTTAAAAGGCTGTTCAACAAAGACATTAATTATCTGAAATAAGTGCATTCAATCATAAGAACTTTCAGGCCTAAATCAGGCCTTAAAAACAATTCACAACCTCAATTTGAGTATTAGCCTTAGTTTTCATATGAGCTGGTTATTTATTTCTACAATGACAGCTAATGTTCACATATATATGTTCTTCAAAAATGAAAAGACCCGACTTATGTTTTTCTTTTTCGAAATAAAAAAGGATTACCTAACGATATCAGATTGAATTTTAGGGTCTGTTTCACATAATTTGCTGGGGTTACTTCAAAATTTGTTGTAAATTGACTTAGTGAGTTCATCATCATCAATCATCAACAGCCTATAATAGTCCACTGCTGGACATAGGCCTCTCCTTAGAAAGGAGGTTTTCAATAGAGGAGGAGTGAGTTTAATACCTTATAATGATATATTATAACATTGAATAATTATTAAAGTATTAATTTTCATAAGAAATAGATGACGAAAGTTTAGGAACATTTAAAATTTTAGTCTTATTAACAAATGGAAATTTTCAATAGAAAATTTTGAAACAATTAAATTATTTTCAATTTAATTAAATATTTGATGGTATTTTTACAATCAACTTCATGTATGTATATATTACAATGTTAAGTAAAATCGTGGCGTTAATTTAGTAGAAACTGGGACAAAGAAAATGTTCTATCATAAAATAATTACATACATAAATGTGTTATTTATAACAAGTGCGATCGGAAGTTTTAACACCAATATCATACTAAACGGAACTGAATCCGATGGTCACAACACAGGTGAAAACGTCAAAAGTTTCATTAGCTTTAATTCAGTAATAAGGATAATTGTATATTATGATAATAGAGCACCGATTTACTAAAAGGCACGTTTGGAAACAGAGAGGTGATCTCCACTAATCTCACTCCGCTCGACAAGAGAACGGCCGCAGGTTAACGTGTTCGCAGGTGACATGGATACAAAACTTTCATATTTAACCACTATTGATATGACCAGTAACTAACTTCCAGGAGCCAGCTCAACCATCTTACCAGTCTTTTCATCAACGCCATCGACAACTATGGAAGTTTCATTTTCGGCGGGACTAATGTTATCCAGTTTTTTATCTGTGGCGAGCTCTAACATTAAGGTCTCGAGTTTTTGCGCTTTTCTGGTTTCGTTGTGGGTAATCAAGGCGCACAAGTGTTCAGTTAACAACTCCTTCTTCTCTTTCTCCTTTTGCAGCTGAATTTTTGCTTGCAAGAACTCCATTTCCACTTTCAGGTAGTGTTTTCTAGAAACAAGTAATTTTTGTTTAGATACGAATGTGGATAAATTGTTTATAGTCTAAAAATACAGCTTTTTAACATGAAATAAATATTAAACCTATAGTCTTAGGACTTAATTGTAATCCTTGCTTCGGAAAAGGTTTTGATAAGTATTTTACAAAAAATTAGCTATCGCGTTTAGTAATTTTACATGTCTTGCCAGAAGAATAATATATTTAATTATACACTTCCAACAACAATAGTCGAGTCAGCATTGCGCGACACCTACTTTTATAATGTATTACAGAAAGAGTCACACAAAAGGCACTCATTCTAATTGAAATTAAAATGTCAAACATGTCACAGACGCTGTGACTAAATATTACAGCTGAAAGCTAATCACAATATAACCAATTCTATTCTCCAAACATCTTCTATATAAATAAAAATGAAAGTGTGTGTATATTGTGTGTCATTCAAGCAGTAGTGTGTGAAATGTTTTATTTTAATGTATTTTCAATGCATTTTATATAAAAAAATAGCTTTATGCACTTTTTCTTCATATAAAAGCGAACTGTGTCAAATTTTACATTCATCCGTTCGCGCAATTTTCTTAACAAGGGTACAAAGTTTTCGCTTTACGTATTAATATATAGATAATATACAGAAGTACACAGTACAGACGTACAAAAACATAGCAAAAAAAACGGTCCACGGACAGTGCGTCTGTAGACATACATAAACAATATACATATACGAGTATGTGTGTTAGTGGTGTAATATACAATATAATTAGAACGTCCTGGTTTAAAATTTGAATAAAACACACATTTTTTTATGAAAAATGCATCCGATTGATTTATTTAATAGATAATTTTATGCAATTTATGTTTTAAATAATATATCGGCCAAATGACCGCCGCGGCTCTTTTTGCAGACGGTCACCCGCTCACGCCAATTTTCGATGACGAGGTGCACCATTTCGGCCGGTATGTCGGCTATGGCTCGTTGAATGTTGGTAAAAACCAACATTCGACGAGCCATAGGTCACGAATTGTAGCTGGATTATTGCTGTACACTTTAGATTTAACGTAACCCCAAAGAAAATAGTCTAAAGGTGTTAAATCACACGATCTTGGTGGCCAACTGATCGGTCCATTTCTCGAAATTAACGACTCATCAAACTTTGCACGCAATAATTCCATGTTCACTCGAGTAATGTGAGGTGGTGCACCGTCTTGTTGAAAATAAAGGTCGTCTGCATCAATATCATCAAATTCCGGAAAGAAATATTCGGTTAACATCGAGTTATAGCACTCGCCATTCACAGTAACAGGGTTTCCTTCGTCACTTTCAAAGAAGTACGGACCAATGATTCCACCGCACCATAAACCGCACCAAACTGTTATTTTTTGATGCAATGGTGATTCATGAACCACACGTGGATTTGACTCACTCCAATAGCGACAATTTTATTTATTAACAAATCCAATGACCAGAAATGGACCTCATCTGAGAAGATGATCTTACGATGAAAATCGTCATCGGCTTCCATCATTTCCAGTGCATAATCGGTAAATTCACGACGGATACAATGGTCGGCTTCAATTCTTGTGCCAAAACAATTTTGTATGGGTGTAGGCCCAAATCCAACTGCAAAATACGCCAGGTGGTCATTGGAGAGAGCCCCAACTCTTGTGAACGGCGTTGAACTGATCGATTTGAATTCGCATCAACACTGGCCTGAACGGCTGCGATATTCTCTTCACTACGGGCATTTCTTTGTCTCACAGGCACAGCAGTATCGTGGAGAGTGAATTCACTTTCAAATTTTGTTATTATGCGATTTATAGCGCGCACAGAAGGAGCACTAGGATAACCGTTTTTTTTCGCGAAGCGCTCTTACTGTAGCGGTAGGAGAAAACGAATTTGCGTAATAATTTTGGACAATTTTCAAGCGTTGGTTTAAAGTGAAACGTGACATGATAAAATGGCAAACCTTACTGAACAGAAATGTCAAGAGACGTCAAAGATCCATCATCAAACATGGCCGCTATAAGCTGTCAAAACCAGGTCATTCCTATTGGAGGACCCAGTATGTGCTTTGCTTAGTTGTATGTGTGTCCACGAAAGCACCTTGCAATACCATTTCCATTTGTATCGAAACATTGTTTTAATCAGTTCGATTCCTACATACCAATTATGGTGTATCGACTTATCCGTGTGGTGATGAGCAAAAATAAAAGAATTTGTATCCTGTTATAACTTAACTTCCAAGTTTTTAACATTATTTCATATCATTATTATTATTTATTTTATATCATTTAAGTTAGATGGTACTTTATGAGCCATAATATATGTTAAAGATGTAAATTATTTGTGTACTTACTCAGCTTCTGCGTAAGTCAAGCACGCTTGGTCAATCTTCCCTCTCAATAAAGCGACATCATGTGAGAACTGGCTGTCTAATATCTGCAATTCTTTCTTAATCTTCTCCAGTCGCATCACCTCTTCTGCTGTTTGTTTTGTCCTGTAATGGACAAAAAAAGTTGAAGTAAGAACAGCAGATTAAAATATACTTTAATATAAACCGATGTCATGTTGTAGTTAATAAAAACTTATACCCATGCAATACATTTGTAACTACAACTACCGTAATTAGTTTTGTAACGTTTAATATCTATTTATAATTCTCTAATTTGTACTAGCAAATTTGTAGGTTTTTTGGTCTTTTGTCGGACACTACTTGCAAATCTACGTGTTATTATATTCATTATTACTAATAATATTTTTTTTGTGTCCGTGTGGTGACGGTTTAAAAATACGGAATGTCACCACCCCTATTCATCCCGTGGGTCTCGTAAGAGCCGACTAAGGGAGCAAACTAAGCAGGACAACAGCACTGCAAAAAGAAGGAAAACTTGAAACAAACCCTATAAAAACAACCAACAGTGTGGTATAGTAGGCCAAAACCTCCTTTCTAAGAAGAGGCCTATGTCCAGCAGTGGACTGTTATAGGCTGATGATGATGGTGATGAATAATAAATTGTCCAATAAATAATTCAGTTTCCAATATAAATAACTATCATCTCCTTAGAAAGGAGGTTTTGGCCTAATATATGACTGTGGTCAGACGCGTTGGTATAGGTTTAGTGTCTTAGTAGTTTTCCTTCTCTCTGCAGTGCTGTTGTCCTCCATAGTTTGCTCTCTTACTCGCCTCTTACGACACCCACGGGATGAATAGGGATAGCCACACTTCGTATTCTTAATCCGTCACTATAACTAGAAAACATAAAATTGCGAATTCACATTATGTGTACTACACTACATTGAAGAGGATTTTTATAAGAACAGATATCTTTACTGTCATGTTAAATTCACTCCCTAAAAGAAACGTTGTATCTAATTTAAGGTAAGAACAGTAGTCAATGCTTTATTTATATAAAAATATACGGAACCGATCAGATCCTAACTTGAAAGCGAAAGCGAATCTGTTCTGTTTGTTTGTAACTCTCTTACGGCCTAGATAATTGACCGCACACCATGAAATTTTGCATAAACACCAATGGAAGAAAACAAAAGGCCTAGGTATCTTTCATCCAGAAAGTAAAGCGAAGCCTCGTGCGAAAACGAGTATTATTTATTTTCTTCGACAAAGGTTGTTTAAAAAATCACAAAAAGAACACCGTACGAAATATAGTCAATAATGAGGTTGGTTACACGAAAAAATTAAACTAAAACTTTAAGTACTAACCATATTGGTTTTGTGATTAGTTTATAAAATTTATTTAGGTTAACCATTACCATAAACGTACTTATTTTTATAACACAAATCAATATAAACGTAACACATCTGTACTGAGTTAAAGGAGACTGTCGAGAGATATCTCAAAAACACTTGAACGCTGATAACATAATATCAAGACTATATCTTGTAAAATGCTAGCCATTGGATAATTTATCCGTTTTTTTTTTTGCTCCTCTTAGAGCTGTGGTTGAAATAGATTGTTTGCTGGTTACAAAATGACAAGGTAATTTCTTCATTGGAAAAAATATTATACTTAAAACATGTATGTCTGTGGAAGTAGAAGTGTGCGCGTGAATGTGGTACATGTGATAAGTTTACGTAACCGATTTTGATGCTTATAGCTGTAGCTAAACGGTTACCTTTAAATTACAGTTTTCTGAGTTACATATACTAACCAAATCGTTTTTGTGTGAAGGTTGTACATACGTAATGAACATACATACCAACTGTAAATGTAGGTATGTATAAAACTAACTTTGGGGTCACAAATTGACATGTACCAAGTTAAATAGTCATATATAAAGGGTCTACCAATAGGGATGACCTGGTTTTGACAGCTTATAGCGGCCATGTTTGATGATGGATCTTTGACGTCTCTTGACATTTGTGTTCAGTAAGGTTTGCCATTTTATCATGTCACGTTTCACTTTAAACCAACGCTTGGAAATTGTCCAAAATTTCTTTGAAAATGACGAAGGAAACCCTGTTACTGTGAATGGCGAGCGCTATAACTCGATGATAACCGAATATTTCTTCCGGAATTTGATGATATTGATGCAGACGACCTTTATTTTCAACAAGACGGTGCACCAACTCACATTACTCGAGTGAACATGGAATTATTGCGTGAAAAGTTTGGTGAGTCGTTAATTTCGAGAAATGGACCGATCAGTTGGCCACCAAGATCGTGTGATTTAACACCTTTAGACTATTTTCTTTGGGATTACGTTAAATCTAAAGTGTACAGCAATAATCCAGCTACAATTCGTGACCTAAAAACCAACATTCGACGAGCCATAGCCGACATACCGGCCGAAATGGTGTACCGCGTCATCGAAAATTGGCGTGAGCCGTGGCCGATATATTATTTAAAACATAAATTAATAAATAAATATAAAAATAAATCAATCGGATGCATTTTTGATAAAAAAATTGTGTGTTTCATTCAATTTTTAAACCAGGACGTTCTTATTGGTAGACCCCATATTAGAACCGACAGACGCACTGGCTGCGTATTTCTTTCATTAAGACGGAAAGAACCCTCAGCAATGATCCTCTAATCATAAATTAATCATAACAGTAATACAACGAAACTCTCATAATCTGTAATATTGCGTTCAGCGATTCCGAACTTTTCTCACAAACAATGGAACATTAGCAGAATAAAATATTATAAAGCACTATGATGAACACAGTTGAAATTTCCTTGATCCAGAAAAAGGTGTGTCAGGATTGCAGGTTTATTTTTCAGGTGGGACAAACAGACAGAAATACCTGATGGTCAGCTAACAGAGCTGCGCAGTATAGTTTATAAGCAACACTTACTACGTTGTATTTTATAACATTTAGTTACATTATTCACATTATTCGTTGTTAAGTATTCGATTAGCAAGTAAAGCACGACTGTCGTTCTGTACGCAAGAGTATAACTTTGAGGAAACAATTCAAATATTTTGACATAGCCTCTAATTGAGATGATCTAGAAACTCGCTTGACGACCTCCTCTGTAAGATGGTTACACACCCTCAGACGAGCAACCAACTTTTATGCACTTTTATGGTATAAGGGGCATAATAATAATCTTTATTCGGGTATTTTAGACCATACTGTTCCACATTTACAATTTCAAAAGAATCAACAAAAAAACAAAGATAAAAATACTAAAAACTTACTTCCAGTTTCTCGCTATATTAAACTTGGAACAGTGGTTCGTATAAGTAGTCGAGCCTAGAATACAATAGCATACCTGATGGTCAAGTGACCTGTATGTACAATGTACCTTCACCCATGGACACCAGGACCTCAAGAGTCACAAATACGTTTTAGCCCTTGAGCCTTAAGTCCCTTTCCCCCTTCCTGAATTGGGAGAGGGGGAGTTTGGGCGCCGGTAACCTCACTGACAAGCGTCGAAAAAATTGCTTAGTGAACCAGTGTTCCGTGGGATCGTGGTATCACATATGCCGAGCCGTCGTCGGCCCATCTGTTTCCCACGGTAATATTTGTTACAAACTGATAGTAAAATATGTAAATAATGCAGGTACTATATACAGATAATGATAACAACCAACAATCTATTACGCATACACGCACACGTAGTGCTTAACAATGAGTAACATAACAAGATATGTAAAAACTTTTTTGGCTAAGATAATAGTGCTAATTCTGTTGTTCAAAACTCTCTAAACTAAACTAAAAATCACTAAATATCATCAGCATTGCTGTCATTTTTTGAAGAATTCCCTTGTCTGTCTCCAAAACTCATCATCAGATCTATATGAAATTTAGATGAGACCATTTCGAAATATAACCCTCTCGAACAAAAAAGATTTTGAAAATCCGTCTATTTATGACGGAATTATACCCGAACATACATAAAAAATATATAAACTTCTCTGAAATTATAAAATTCGGTAGTACATTATGTGGGATATTTTTTGTAGATTTGATCTCATTTATTTCTAGTGTGAAGCCAGAGCGAGAAGGAATTAATAAATAAGAGTTTTCCTTTTTTGTTTTCCTTTCATGTATTATAGCGCTTGCATATATGCATACCATATACTTACATGCAGATATGTATATCTACACACATATAATATCAACTACACGTTGTTGTACTTTACGTTGATAGTGGGCTCGATAAAACCATTTCTTGTCACATCTATTTTAATATTTTATACGCATGGACACAGACAAAATCTATACAAATAATATTTAAAGCTAAAGTTTGTTTGTTTGGTGGACGTGGTTATCTCAGGAACTACCGGTTCGAATTAAAAATTATTTAACTGTTGGATAGGGTCTTTATTAAAGGATACTACGCAACACCACCCTTAGACCAATAGGAGTTACTAAAACGAGAATAATATAATATGGTTTAGCAAAATTTGCAACACGAAACACTGACTTGACTTTCTTGCTTTATATTAGACTATTACGAAAAAAATTGGCTAACGTTTATATTTTGATATATCTCCTTGTTTAACCGTTAATGTCAATAAATATTCAAGATTAAAACAGTTGAAAATGAGGGTTTTTTGAAGAAGGAGGTTTGTTTAGAACACTACTTCTGACATATTATCTTTCAATAATATATATCACAGTGTTTCACTAATGCAGTCATTATCAAACACATTTGAAATATTGTAATCTGTGCTTTTAGTTTTAAATAAAGATTTTTTATTATTATTATTATTTTATAAAAATAACCTCTTAGTTTTTTTTTCACCAGCACCTTCACCAACAGCATTTACATACATACATACATACTCGTACGTACGTTCATAATATTTGAGAACTTGCACCGAAAATTCTAAAAATAGTAACACGAAAGCAGGTTATTTGGTGTCAAAAGTATAAAAGATGAATATGTTTAGTATCTGTAATATAGTTTCCATTCCAACAAACTGTAAAATTGTGCGTGTACAACTAATTTGCTACATGTAATTGGCACTTTATTAAAACCAGTCACGACACATACCGATTTAGCTTGTTCTTGGTGTTCTGTCCCTGTTTTAATGTCGAATGAAGTTTTAACATACGTCGTGCTTTGATTTTATTTTTTTGGGATAGAGGAGTAAACGAGCAGTAACGTAGACGGACAAACAACAAACAGTATACGAACTTAGTTTAAAGTTCGACAGCGCTGTAGCGTCGAATTTCAAACGAACTTAGTTTGAAGTTTGACGCTTAGAGAAGGGCACTGCAGGTCACCTGATAGTAACAATCAGCTCCCATGGACACCTCCCATGGTGGTAACGCACTTGTGAGTTGCTCACAAGTGCGTTACTATCCTTTGACTCCTTACCACCAGATTCAGGAAAAGGGGAGATTGGGTTAGCTTAATAATTAATACCAAGAGCTCAAAAATTACTCGCCTATGAGTGTTGGTACGTTTAGGTATAATATTATAATAACAGTAAATGTGACGAATTTATAGTACCTAAACGGTTTTTTTTGTCCAATCACTCGTGAATCGCTCTGATGCTTTTGCATGTATGTTCAAAATGTATGCACAAAGTAGAAACGCTTAGCTCGCACAACAAAAACCGCAAAAAAACATATCAAGATACTTCACAAACGAATTTTTACTTTATTACGCATAAGGAAGGACTTAAATTTAATTTGCCACGCGATTTATGTATGCATGTTTTTTTAATAGTTAAACAAAGGTGTCAGTGTATTTTAGTATTTAGAATTATACATAACTAGCTATTGACTTTGGCTTCGCTCTCGTCATTATTTCGTACCAGCTTTTGACCGCGGCTCCGCCCACGTAAATGTCAGTTATCGCGGTAAAATAGCCTATGTCTTTGCTCAAGAATAAAAGTATCTTCATACCAAATTTCATCTAAATCGGTTCAGCGGTTATTGATTCCCCATACAAACTTACACCCAACCCCCCCCCCCCACCCCTTTTCACCCCCTTAACGGATGGTTTCTGGGATAAAAACTACCCTATGTTCTTTGCCGGGACTCGGACGATCTGTACCAAATTTTAAATTGGTTCAGAGGCTTTTAAACAAGGAGAGGTAACAGACAGACACACTTTCGCGTTTATAATACTAGTACGGATTTCGTGTTTCTAACTTTGAAAACCGTTTAACCTTTATTTTAAACCCTTGGGGGAGAAATTTCCAAAAAACCCCTTTCTGAGTGGGTGCTAACAACATAAAAAAGATCGACTACCAAAATTTCAACTTTGTAGCTCCAGTGGTTAACGCTTAGTGACTGACTGATCCAGTCAGAATCAGTCAGCAATTCATTTTATATGCATAGATGATAGTTTAAAAAGATTCATGCATTTATTAATCACAAAAATATGCAGCATCACAATGTACTAATTAAATTAACCTACACAAAAAGGGGTAAAAACAAAATCTTAAACTTACCTGTCTGCAAGTGCTCTAGCAAGCATTTCTTTTCTCTTTTTATTCTGTTCTTCCATCAGCTTCTGCCTCAGTTGTAAATGTTCTAACTTCACCTTATGAGTTGCTGTCTCATCTTCTGAATAATTATCCATTCCTCTTACAATATCTGGAGTTGTGGCTGAGCTATCTTTCCTACTGCTTTGTATACTATTAAAACTGTCTAGATTATTGTTTGTATTAATAATTGTTTCTGAAGGTCCAGTACCATTTTCTATATCAGATATATTTTCATTTTTGTCCACATTTTCCTTATCATCATTGTTTAATTCCATTTCAGTAACTTGTGACTTAGGTGTAACTGGAGACCTTAAACTTAACTTGCACTTGTCAAACTCTATGTTGTCTATAGCTTCATCAGAAGACTGTTTTGTGATAGTCTTTAACTTCATATTTTTGGTGTATCGTGACTTACCAAGAAGTGCAGGCTTCAAATTATTAGTTGTATTTAGTTGTATACCTGAATTAAACAATGAAAATAATCAAATAATTGAATTTAATGATTTTTTATCTATTCCAGCCAAGCCGATACAAGATGACATACAAAAGGTAGCTAATTAATATATAGCAGAGGTTTTATTATAAAAACAAGACACTAGAATATCTATTATTCTAGTATAATGTTTATGATCAACAATATTAAATATAATAGGATATTGTGATTTGCAGTAAACAGAAAAAAAAGTAATTTATTAACTTGATGATTATAAATATTGTTTATTGACTGCTGCAACTAATATTTTTTGTAACTACATAGGTAAATGAAAACACCTCATTCATTAGTTACAAATGTTCGCCTATTGCTTTATTTGCATTAGTTTCAGTTTTGTGAATCAATTGATCCCTCAAAAGGTTCCGTTATTTCTTAAAATACCCATGACAACATGTGTGAAAGATTTCACAATAATCATTTAAGTTGTGGGTGTGGCTAATAAACTCATTTCCACATTATGTTAGGTCAGTAGGGCTCTTTAATAATATTTACAAAAAGGTTTACAGGCTAACCATGGCCAGTGTGACCTGGTCAAAACGTCAGGCAATTCAAAGGTATTTACTTAATACCTATTATGAATGTGTTAATTCCCATAAACATAATTACATATTAACGCGGGAGTGTGAAAGTAGCTTTAGTAAGAGTTTCAGAATGCTAAATCCTCATATTTTGCTCTTAATAGTATTTGTGGCAGTTACTTTACAAGTACTCTGTGGCATAAATATGTATGGAATAATTTTTTTGTATGAATATATGTATGTATGTATGTTTTTTTGTAGTAGAACAATAATAATATATTCATAGTATAATTTGTCTATAATTGGAACAGTTAACAAATGCATCATCCTCGGATAATTTATTACTTCTGCAATATCAGTCAGGACATGTGTTTGTCGTTTAAGTTGTTTGTAGGAAAAAACTGGCACTATCAGTACTTAAACACATATTTTATAATTTCTATTGTACAATGTTTATACATATAAAGTCTCCCACACTTAATTAATTATGACACATTACTATGTAATATTGTGTACAAGTCTAATCCAAACTATTGTAGTCATCAGTACATCATCATTATTTTCTTCACAGATGATGCAATGACTGTATAAACACAATCAAAGTGCCATAACATTACAAAATGCAATTATTTCACGGAACATAACACACAACAAAACCGTGTTATGAGCATTAATCACATAAAAGCATCCATGTAACTATTAAGATTACAGAAATGTTAATGATATGATCTATCTTATCTTTTATAATACAATAATTAAAACAAACTAAATCCTAGGTGCCTTCTCACAGAACAGACCCAGCAATAGAAGTAGCCTTCAGAAAATGTTTTCTTTGTTGGAATGTTGGATTAACCTGAGAAAATTTCAACTGTGGTCAGATTGTCAAGAATTAATTATGGTTTGAGTCTTGACCTTGAGCTCAGAGCCAAAATTATATGCATAATAGATATACAAAAACACAATATGAGGTCATCATCAAATGCTGCCTGATTTCATAGGTTTGTGTAATTCAAAGCTTATTTGATTTGAATCTATCTAAATTAGGACTGAAATGTTCTTATAAAAATGTTGTATGACAAACTTGTTAGATGGGTTGCTTTTTCATTAAAAAAAAGCACTAAGTATCTGCGGCATACAAATTTTTCTTTCAGATCAACCATTTAATAAACTTCACCTTGAAATGTATTCATTCAAAATAAAAATAATAATAACCTCATACAGCCATCTGATCTCAAACTAGGCAGAGCCTGTACTATGGTAACCAAACTGCTGATAAACATACTTATGTATAATAAATACAATTTAAAGGAAAAAATCTAACAACTGCTCTTACCACTATTTTTCCTTTTTTTTATAGTTTTTAAAACTTCTTTTATTTATTTATTTATAACTTTATGCACTTTCGTAAATCAACAGACTTGATGCCCAAGACATTCCCTTCCAGTCAACCTTTAGGTGGTGTAGGAATCATAAGTGATACGCACACATAGGTTATAATACTAATAATCACTAAAATTTACATAACACAATGCACATAAATTTATATACAAACAAATACACACTATATATATAAATATACACATGTATATATACACACTATGCATATACATGTTTACACACATATATTTGTACACTATGAATGAAGGGAAATTGGTTGCTGCACTATTTATTAGATGATTCTGCCATCTCATTAAGAAGGCCCTGCTCTTTTGCTCCTACCGAATGAATTTGGTGATAATACTGTTTAGCTGCAAACATTTTTAACTTAATTTTTTTAGCAATCCAACCATCCATCAAACAATAGTAACAGTTATTAAAAGTTAGTTCTAAATCAACTTATATTTGGAGCCTAAACATTTGTATATTATTCGTTTATTATATTGACACAAATGGATTGAAGATGAATGAAATTCATGAAGATTTTCACTCTACACAATGATTCCAGTATATACATTATTCTATTATTTTACTCTTTTTAATAAAAATCAATTAGCAAAAAATTTAAAAGGTTACTTCCTATTTATACATTTAAATAGAAGTATTTTGGTAGTTTTAAAACATGCAAATATTTTAAAATAAACTGCAATACACTTAAAGATTGATTTAAATAAGATTTAGCAAGGATCTATTTACCACTCTGAGTGCCAGTTTCACCGGATTTGATTCGTTTCAACTCTTCTTCACTGAATCCTGAGAATGCACTCATGGTATACTGATTTTAGCAATTAACATAGGTGATCTCTTAAATCATCAAGCTTTATTTTATTCCTCTTACAAAAGGCCTAAACTTTTGCGTGTATTGATGATTTTGAAGTTTGACAATACGGCAGGCAAAATTTGACATTCATTTCGGTGACGTAAACTTTTTGGACGTGACTTACGTTCCGATTTTCATTTTGATTTTTGCAATCTGATGTAAAAACCAACATTAATGCCGCCCTCTTTTATTTAGATGGCATCTGCAAGAAAGTTACAATAAAATGAAATCTCTGCAGCTGGTCACTCTGGTCAAGTTTGCAAAAGATAGTAAATTATAATTTTTAATGCGCCAACACTGATCAGCCACAGTGTTACCAATTTAGTGGATTTTCTACTAAAACTGGTGGTTTCGTCCCCTCTTTTAGTGGCTAGTGGATTTTTTAGTGTTTTAGTAGTAATAGTAGGATTGGAGAGGGCTTAGGAAATCCTGTTGCAACACAAACGTTTGATAGGAAAAGGAGGATGGGGATCAGATAGAAGAGTTCAGGAAGAGGATTATTAATTTTGGTCAATGATGTATACTTTGTACCAGAGAGAGGTTTGGGAGTCAAGAAAGAAGGCAATAATGTGGGCTACAACTTCGAGGACAAATAATTAAGAAAGGTAACCATGATCTTACTGCTTGGAAACCATTGCGTTATAACAGACAGATAGGATGATCTTTTAAATGTCCCCAGAAGGCAAGGCGAAAATTCAAAGTTGACAATATTGGGTCTGGCCAGACTAGTGAAATAATTCTGGGTCCGACTTTATATTTAATGATCCGGTTAAGTAGCAGAAGAGAAATGAAGATTGATATCATTCAAACCAATAATACTCGGTCCGTTGTTGTCTACAAATGCCCAATATGTTAAGGAACTTCTACATGCTAGAGGTATTGCTCTTCAAAGATGCTCAAGGGACCGAGGGATTTCGACATTTGAGGAGTTAGTGACCTTTAGCGTTACTCTCTTAATATTGCCTCATTTTAATGCCAATGTTGAGTTGAGAGATTACTTATACGTATTAACAGAGGAATAGAATGATGAAGTATACGCTGTTGTTTGAAGTTGGAAGGAGAATACTGCAACAAATATGAAATTCCAATAAACGTTGTAAAACAAATCGGTACCAAAGAATCGTATTAATCTGGAACTGACGATGATGGTGCTGACAAAAACGATTATCAGTATTAAATTTTAATAAAGGAAACTAATTATTAATGTACTTATAGTTTTCTTTCCTAATTACTAAAAATAATTTTTAGTGGAAAATTTATTACCTATTAGGCTACTAGGGTCCTATTAGGGTCGTTTTTCGTTAGTGGTTTTCTGGTGGTTTTAGATGTTGAAGAGTTCATTTAACTGTTGGCAACACTGATCAGCAATGACGCTTGTATTGTATGGCGATTGATCATATATTATCATAGTTTGAGGCGGTATAATTTTAGGTTATATTTTTAAGTCGCCAAATACAAAAGTAATTATCAAACAAATAGCCCTTTTTAATTCACTTATATGCGTTATGTTGTGTCTTATTAATTTTAAATTCCATTTTTCAGAAATCCTCCAAAATGGCAGCCGCTATGCCAATAAACCCTAAACCTTTTCTCAATAGTTTAACAGGTAAATCTGTCTTAGTAAAATTAAAGTGGGGTCATGAGTACAAAGGCTTACTGGTATCGGCTGATGGATATATGAATCTACAATTAGCAAATACGGAGGAAATGGTTGATGGTTCATGTACAGGTTAGTTGATTATCTCTACTTTATGTATACAAGATCATCTTGTATTTATGTATAAAACAGTGTCGTGAAACTGAGGGATTACCTTACCCAAGTTTCCAAGCATTACGATTACGTTACATTCTGTGTAGTGCTTGAGTTAAAACTAGCAGAGAGATAAAAAATACTTTTAACCCGCTGAAAGCAGTGGTAAAACCTTGCTTTAGCTGTAAACATCAGGTTTTGAGAATACAGATTATATATAGTTTCCTTATCTATTGCAAAGCAATCAACGTACTGGGCCCAGTCAATAACTCTTCAAACCTACAAAATAGAACTAATAAAGAGCCATTACTACTTTATAGCACACACAATATAATAATATTGATGTTATGATGTTGCTTGAAACTCTTTTATATAATTTAACCTCTGATATGCCGCTGCACTGTATAGTGTTTACCTGTGAAAGCACTTTGCAGTGTAGCAGGCATATCAGAGGGGTGACATGTGAAGAGTTAATCTGTCTCTTTTTCCTAGGTAATCTTGGAGAAGTCCTCATAAGATGTAACAATGTACTGTATGTAAGAGGTGCTGAAGAGGAAGATGAGGAAGGAGAAATGAAGGAATAATACTTATTTATCATATAACTATAAGATTTTCTCAAGGATATAAGTCAATGATTAATAACACATGTGCCTGTACAGGAAATGTTACATTTTCATATTACATACTTCATATTAATTAAACCTGTATTATTGTTACATGTCTGTAATTGTATAGTAATTTTCTTAACTGGGAAAGAGTTAAAAGTATTCTATGAACTAGTTTCACATTTCCATGGTACACTTACCACCTACCACTTCTACACCACTACTCTAATGTTGCTTAGGAATACATGGTCGTTTTTTTTGGTTAAAATGCTAGGAACCAAAAGTGGTATTATATGGGGTATGTGTCATTTTATTAGCATTTGTACAAATTCCGGTCTTGTGTGATCTATATGTAAGCCCTTATTCTATAAGTTATGTTTAATATTAAACACTTGATAAATATGCAAATATGTAGTCTCTTTTATTTTTGTCAATTGAGCATTATAACCCAATCCCCCTCACCCTGATTTGGGTGGGGCTCAAGGGCTTTTGAATAGCAGGTGTCCATGGGCGCCGGTTGTCACTTACCATCAGTGGGTCAAGTGGGAGTTTATTTTACATCAACTCGCTCTCGACAGCGAGCGCGTTCGGCTTAGCGATAGGTGAATTCAGTGCCGAACGCGATCACCGTGACTTTCGGGTAGATGTGAAATAAACTAGCACTTGGGCCTCAGGTAACTTGTCTGCTCGTTTGTTGCTTGTTGTGCCATAAAAAATTAAATATTGTACGTAGTTGATATTCATTTTATTAATTATACTTAACAGATATTTACAGAGATCACAACATTTAATACAATAGCACATTAAAAGATTTACCAAGTTTATTAATCCAAAGTAAACGACACGTAATTTTGATTACGAGATTTAATTAGCTTTTTAAGGCTGTCTCGGCAGTGATATTTAGCACTAATGGTGTCACTGTCACTGGCTTGGCCACCATCATGGATTTTAATTTTGATAACTAAAATTTAGTCACCAATTAGTTTAAATTTGTCGCTATATATCAGAATTTGTCGGTCTCTGGTTCAAAAGTTATAAGCGTTTAGGTGAGGATAATCTCCGTTTATATCTCAAAAGGAAGGCACCAAGCGAAGATCTGGTTTCTACCAAACTTAGTCGCTAATTTGTCACAATTAGCCGCTAAGTCACAGATTTAGTCAAGTCTTAGTTTAGGAGATACAATAAGCTCAATTTTTAAGGTAGGTATAGTCTAAGAGCTACATCGCAGAGTTTACGAAAAATTGCCAAGAAAATATTTCTATTAGTGTGTGTAATGTAGTTCTAGTTTTATCGGTTTCAAGTCCTTAGAAATGTCGGAGATAAATAAATTCTCAACTAAACACAATATATTTTTCTTTTAAATGACAAGGTTAGAATAACTTAAACTTCTTTAAAAACGTTAAACCTTGTTCTTGGTCTGGTGTCAATTTGCACAGTTGCATACACCTGTTTTACAAAATTATAATGTTAGGATCTAATTTACGTTATAATAAAAAACTTCTGTTACCGAAATAAGAATACATGATTTACCTAATAGGTAAAAATTATCGTATACTTACCGGCACCGATGTTGAGCGCTCGGTCATTCTAAACTAACACCCGAGTAAAGCCGTGACTTTGAGAGAAAAGTTAGCTATAACCAAGCCCCGAAACAGTCTCGCCTATGACGAGAACATCCACTTCCACGGTTGATACGTTCCAAATGAGGTGATTTAAATAATGACTGTGTTATTTAAACCCTTGTAAGCACACTTTCCCGAACACTTTGAATTTAACAATGTCAGGCATAATGCACTTTATAAACGATGTTTCGGCCAGAACGATGGTAGTCAATCCATACAAATAAATAAAATTGTAGTCTTTTTGTATAGGGGTTGTTTCAAGTTTTCCGTCCTTTTCCACGATACTTATACCTAAAAACCAGTTTAAATATTTTTTGTCTGTCTGTTTGTTCCGAGTAATTTTCGATAACACCAGATAGCTGTCTATAAAAGGAGTAACTTAGGGTATTTTTTCTCTCAGAAAAACTATAAAATTTTGCCCGGTCCGGGAATCGAATCCGAGGCGCGTACCGTACTACACTACAAAAGCAGCGCTTTGCAAATTCCACGCGAATGAAGTCGCGGGTACCAGTTAGTCTTAAATATTTTTATAAATATTAGAGTTATTGGTAATTTACGTAAAAAATTAGGATGCAATAAATTTCTTCTACTTTTTTTTATTAAACACATATTGCATGTCATATTATTATTTCAATACTTATCTTCTAGAATATTATTTGTTTGCACTACGCAGTATAAATATAACAGCTACAAACACAACTTACACTTCTTTCACAAACTTTTGAATATACAATAATTGAAACACCATTCACAAGATTATAAATAACCAGTGGAAATACCCGTACGCTTAACTTATACTGGAGCTATATACTATATACAACATTCCCAATAAATTAGGTATAGGCAATAGCGACAATGTAATAAATTATTGCGGCCCATCGTATATCATGATAATGTGATATTCTATCACGTGATCGCTACGTGGTATTCCCACTTGTTTTAAATATTGTAGTATTGCTATTCCGATTGGCAAAACGTAGATAATTTTCCTTAGCCTAATTGATTTTTGTAGCTTATATTAAATAGAATCACATTTATTTTAGCTAAATATCTTGAAACATGAGAGTAATAAATGCACAAATATCAGATGAGGCACCGAGGTGTTGGGTATTTTAAGTAAGAACACTATCGGCAACATAATAATCGTACGGCATACAATTCCAACACAAAAAAAATTAAAACGTAGCACAGACTACATAAATAATTTCAAATAATTTGTAACAGCTGGTTTTTTTTGGCATAAGCCATGGCTGGTTATGGTAATGTTTGCTAGAAAAAAACACGAAAAAAAATTGGCGGCTATTTTGACACTGATTCAATAAAAAAACGTCAAATACTATAAAAGTGTGCACACCAGTGTGCTAACACATGTCTGTGATTTACATAATAGTTCTAATTTCAATACCACACATTAAAATAGGTAAGATACTCTTTTTATGAGACACTTTATACTTATACTATAAGTTATTGCTATAAGATTATTACTCACTCAATAATGAAGTGTTAAAACCATAGTAAGGATTGATTTGAACTTTTAAAAGTTTCAATATCCTCTGTAAATATGTCTCTGACTCCAACTTTGTATGATACACTATAATGAATGGATAACATTTAAAATGTGCTCATTTTAAATGTTATCCCCACCTTATTAATATAAAAACATGAACAAAAAATATAGACACTACAAATAATTCTTGACCACTATGCTACATTTAATTATTTATTATTGGAAGCCGCAAAGTATATTCCATCTTATATTTAAAAATAGAATTAAATCAGAGATTTAAATGTTTAGACCAAAAATATTTTTATCTTTTTTATTAATTCAAATAAGACATCAATATATGAAATAGATTCCGTTCCTGTTTCAAATATGTATAATACATTTAAACTTAATATTCTATTTTATTGGTGAATTTGTCACAAAAGTTTAGATAGATTTACTTAACAAAAGATAAAACTTGATAGATACTAATACTTATTAATGATGTAAGGTGTTACTTGTTGCCAATGAAAGATTAGTTTCGAACTAGACAAGGACTCTTTTTCAAGAAGTGACGCCTCCTGCCGCGAAAGTATCTTGCATCACACGCAACAGTGTGAGTAAAACCGTACAGCTTTAATAAATGTAAATATTACTCACGAATGCTTTCATTCTGATATTAATATTGTTGATAGTAATATGCAGTGATAGCTATAAATCTTCTGTCGAGGAAACTTTGTTCAATTTCTATGTAGCCTCCGAGTTCTTTTGCCATAGACAATAACTGAAAAAGAGGCATACACGTATCAAGTAGTTGTTAGAGGTTGAAAAACATTTGGAATCCATTTCCTTAAAAAAAGTCCTGTTATAAAATCTTGTATTGTAGGATGGTATATGGAGTAAATTCTTTGTCGTTTTGCCTTGTAAGTGTAATTTTACATTTATTTAAAAAATAATGGGTTTGGAATTCGACTTTTTGATTTTGCTTATCTTGATTAAAAGTCAATTTCAATATTCTCTTAAACAAATAAAAATTGCTTAGGAATTGTACTCCAATATTGGTAGCTGTAATGATAGATGTTTTCAACAGTAAATATATGACTTTACCTGATCAGTTCTCGAGTTCCTGGGCAAGTAGACTGATATATTTTCGGATATCGTTCGTGATACTCTGATCAGTTCCGATAACGGCCGGGGCTGCAACATGGTCTCTAGGTCGTACTCTTGGTTCTGTGGAAGGTTAAGCAGTTAATTAAGACAAGTGGTAATGATTGGTTCCGAGTGGATATTCAATTCCCTATTAAACGGGACATTAACAGCCTATGATAAACCACTGCTGGACATAGGCTTCTCCCTAGAAAGGAGGTTTTACTACGGCCGCCTATGGACTTCTGCAACTGCAAGAGTCACAACTGCGCTGCAACCCTTTGAGCACCTTCTCCCATCTCCAGAATTAAAAAGGAGTTGGTTTTCCGGATTTCACCGGTAGCTTTACACTCGATGAAAAGCAACGAAACAACTGTTTAATACCGGCCGGTTTTCCCACGAAAACATTTAAAAAAATGTACTTACATCGCAATAGCTGGGCCCACCCCAGGGTGGGCTTAGGAAAACCATGTCAGCTTGGATCGTGGGAGCGAGTTCAAAAAAGTCGCCGACAATGAACTCGATGCGGTCCGACACTCCGTACACTGTCGCATTGTGGCGGGCCAACTCGATCTTGTGAGGATCTATATCTATTGCTATTACTGGAGACAAATAAGGACGATCATAAATACACTGGAAATTTGATTCTGTGGATTATAATAAATAAGAAAAGTATGGCTCAAAATACCAAACAGATGATATCAATGGAATAAACCGACATAAAGTAAAAAATAACTAAACACATGAAAACATGTCGATTAAAAAAATCTAAATTGAAAGATCTTTATTGAAGAAAGAACTATTTTACGTAGGTAATGAAGGCCCTAATTAATTGTTAACTCTTAACTGAAATATCTATTCAACTGAGGACGCAAATCATTTTTTTTTGTTTTATTCAGCTAAAGATATCTTAAAAAATAATCATGTATGTAGTCATCTTCCTATAAAAATATTGATGTTTTCTTAATGTCTTCTTCAATTAATAAGATGTTTATTCTTCTTGTCGGTCTCAGACGTTTTTCTTTTTTTATAAGAAATACCTACTCACTCAATATGCATGCTGTGCTACAAACCTTATAAGTTATATTTACTAACAGAGAATATTCTTTTATTAATATATTTTGATTACCGTATTTATCTACATAAAGTATGCATATTCCTATGATTATACAGTTTGAAATAGACTATTTAAATTTTATTAACAAGCAACTTTCTTCACATGCGTTTCTTTTCTATTCCTCGGTAAAAGTACTTCATAATGGTAGGTACTGTCTATACTATTATATATTTCTTAGGTTCAATACTGGCATTTATTTAAGAGGTGCTGCATTATCCCTATCTACTAGCTCTTTGACCAGAACTTTTCTGGGCTAATAAATGTTTCTTTAAACTTAAGATTTTTTGTACATTGCGTTCAAGTATTACATAAATATAATTCTAAATAGCAGTCAAAGTACTAAATGTAGACATACCTTTTTTACAAGCTAGTGCGAACTGTATGGTGTTCCCTCCGGCGCCGCAGAAGGCGTCAAGAACGACATCGTGCGGGTACTTGTGAGCGATGTGGAGTGCCACGTTCTCTGGTGTTACACTGAACCAACTCTCGCGGTCTAGCTTTATGCCTTCGTCGAATCTGAATAACACAAATTTCATGCATTGCATTATACGACTGATAGCAGTACCATTCATGCATTGCATTATACGACTGATAGTCACATCATTAAATAAATACCGACTCTTTCTGTGTCGCAATAGAGTGCATTTCAGATCGCACAGCGCTAATCACGTGCAATTATATTCAGCTAGAAGGCTCTCTTTCTATTGCGTAACTGCAGGGTCGGCCTTATTTAAATCCACGTACCCTGGGTTAGTTAATCTTTTGGCACTCTTAATATATAATGTTACACAAAGGAGTAGTCAAATTGTATGAGCTTTACGGTTGGGCAATAAATAGTTAATTTAACTTAAAAAATCTCAGTTTATTAAATTCCATTAAAAGCTTGTGCATATTTACAAACAGAAAATTTTGGACATCTTATCAAAATCCTAGGTGATAATTACAAGAGCTTTACTCCCTGTTTTGTTTATAGTGCAAATAGGTTGATTCAAACATTTCTTTGATACTCAAATAAAATTTGCTGTGCTTTATCTAAAGACGTATGTTTCTTTCAATCTATAACCCGGCCTCCTGTGAGGGGGGCAAGCACTTTTCGAGGTTTTCAAATGAAATCCAATGATTTTAGTGGTTGGGTTGACGTCTTAGGTGTCGTGTATAGTATATGTGCCATACTGTAAAATAATGCCGCTACCTACCTTAGTCCGCTACCTACGAATCTAGAGCATTTTCGATAACAATTCTAGGTATCTTTAAAAATTGAAAGATTCTATGATATTTAAATGTTTTTAAAGTTAAGCTGACCACTAAAATAAAAAGATATTGAGTGAAATAGTATAGATAGAAGATAATAATAACCTAAGAGAGAAAAAAGTGTTGTGATGACTTAAATATTTTTTAGAAAATCGGTTTTCTAAAACCCGTCTGAAACCCTAAAGCCGGTTCTGCGTAACTATCTGTTCTTCAAATGTTAAGGTTACATTTCTTTACTTTAAGATGTTGTTTAGAGGTGTGCTAAACATGATTCTCCGATCTTTTTTAGTATTTCAGCAGCCGAATACGATACTATATGCTTTTGCTTATATGGACACGTGGTCTCGGGTGTCGACCACTGAGTTAATCCAACCGTTGTTGCCGTAACCAACTTTTAGTTTTATCCATACATTGAGAATTAAATCTGGTTTGACCGGTTGCGGTAGAAGAAACAAAGCTTTTAAAAACAATTAGACTTGATGCTTTTAAGCATAAACTTCTAAAACAGTTATTGAAAGTAGTATCACGGTGACAGTTTAGATAGTCATAGTACAGGAAATGATATATAATAGAACTTACCTGAAGAACAAGGAGTGCCTCTTCTTCCAATACTTGTGCATCTTAGGATCGTTCCTCAATTCCTCTGGCATGACAGACGTGTCTACATCATCTAACTTTGATGATCGCTTTGGTTTTCTCTTTCTCTTGACAGGCACTTGCTGAGTTACTGAATAACACATTTTACTTTGAAATATTCTAATGACTATTTTAGAAAGACTTATTTTTAAATGCACATCTAAAAACTTATCAAATATCGACTATTTATGTATTTAACATCAAAATTATTACTGTAATGCAAACAAAACACATCTTCATCAATACTATTTAATATTTTTTTCTCTAATACGCACATCAACTTAACCAGAGCGTACAAGTAATGCCGAGGATTGGCAAACGTCTATAAGCTCCAAACCTTTATAGACTGCTCAATTTAATTTTAGTTGAGCAGTCCGGAATCAACATTAAGTCTCAATGCTCTACTGGTTCAGCAGTTTAGTTGAACAGTTGGGTTAGAGGTTTTTTTGGAATAAAAATATGCTATGTTTGCCTGTCTGAGGCATATTAACACACTCGCAAGCGTATAAATGGCATTCAAGCATTTGTAAGTGTTTGGAGCTTGTGGACGTTTGCCAAGCCCTAGCATGCATGTAAACACACAAAGCTGACATTAAACAGATACCTGGTTTGTCCTCATAATCTTCTGTCTCTTTTTCATCATCATCGTCAGGCAAAGGCATGTTGGCTGCTTCTGCCACCATGCTGTTCTCACATTCATCCAGCGGTCGCGCCTTAGTTAGCTCTGTCTCATTGTAAACAGCATTGGTGGTGTCACCCCCTTTATCTACCTCTGATATAGCCTCATTGCAGTCATCATCAGTCTGCATATCTCTCTCATCTTGAGAATCTTTGGCTTTCTGCAAACGTTTATAATATGTTGATAACAAATACACACTGGTAATAGATTTAGTTATGATTTAAAAAGTAAGTTCAAAAAACACATAAGAATACTCAAATGTTTTAAACATTTCCACAATATAGCATTGCATATAGCAGAAAAATAATAAGTCAACGTTTGAGGATATAGCAATTTACATTTTGCCATTTCATTCCTACATTAATAATATGGCCACATTGTTAATAAAACCATTTCATCACGAAGTGATCAATTCTAAGATTTGGCCACAACATATAATTCAATATTAGAACTATATAAACAGACTATTAAATATAAACCTAATGTCAAGTGTCTCACCATTGAATGTGGATTTCCATCTTCATCAAAATAAGTCTTTTTACTACTTGAGAACCGCTTATATCGTGGGGGCCGCAGTTGTTGCACGCGCTTTCTAAACATAACCTCTCCTTTTGGCAGTTTGTCAGTATGTACGCAAAATCCCATCATTTCAAGAGTCTCTTTCACTTTCAGTTGATCTTCATTCTCCTGGATAATAGGTGGTTCATTGCTAAAAATACAGCAATAATTTGGTTACCAACATGTCTATTAAGTGATGACATTAACCATGTTTAGAACATGTCATGTAATAAACATTAGTCAGTATGGAATTTTTGTTGCCATTTATGATTTAGACAAATATAGCAGATGTGGACATATTTCTATTCAAACTGTAAATAGTGGCACTGAAAAAAAATCCTTTTCCATACTAGTCAACTAAACTGCACAACCAGTACAGCATTGACATTAAATGTTGATTCCCAACTGCTCAACTAATATGTAATTGAGCAGTGAGAATCGACCTGTTTACACGCCTTATGTTTGTAAACACTTGTCGAAGCTTGACAAGCGTGTAAACAAACATCCTTGATCCAAAAAATGAAAAGCATCACCCTAAAATACTTACATTGTTTTCTTTGGCCATGTCGTTTGTTCTTCTGGTGGATCATCATCACCATCTTTGCAACTGGAAGAGTTAGTATTAGCAGCTATCACAGGGTTGTTACAATTTGATGAATCTGGTGCACCTTCAACAACTTGTGTTGTTGTTGATGAAGAATCCTTAGATTGATTATCTCCAGCATCAACTGGTTCACTATCATAACTGAGAGTTTTGGTTTCATCTTTTAATAAATTTTGTAGTAAAACACCTACAGAAGTAATGTACCTTGAGCTTGTTTTCTTCCTCCTCTTAGGTTTAACCTTCTCTTCTAACTTGATGTTGTTTACTTGATTTCTTATCTCTACAACAGTCGGCATTTCTTGGGAGTAACTCTCACTGTTTTCGTAATCTACTTGGTTAGGCAGCTCTAAGACAGCTGCCATCTCTTGAGAATTACTTTCACTATTTTCATTTTCAGTATCTAAAATTCTGTCTTTTATTTTTACAGGTTCTTCAAGTGTAATATCTGTGTTGGTTTCAGGCATTTCACTATCTAATTTATTGTGATGTTCAGTATATTTAGCTAAATGTAATGCATACTGTTCTCCAAAATGTTTCTTCCACAAGAACTGCCAATATTGTTCTGTATCTAACTCTTCAGATGGTATTTGGTCATCAAAATCAAGTTTGTCATCTATATTTACTATCCTTGTCTGATCATTAGAAGGGTCGTCGGAGGATGAAGAGACGCTATAATCGTCGGTGGGCGTAGAGTCCGATGTGACATGACTAGATGTGACATCGTAACTGGAAAATGTGAGTTTGGTAACATTTGTCATTGAGTCAGTGCCAGCTAAAGTTCTTGGACTCAATATTCGTACATTTTCTGAGCATGAACGTCTTCTACCGATTAGCGGCCATGGATCATCATTACTTGAGTCACTACTTTTATCAACCTTTTCCTGTTGATTTTGATTCACATTTGCACTCTTTTTTTTATAAGGATTAACTTTTGAATCATACGAAAATTTTCTTTCCCTCATTTCATCTTCTTCCTTTGGACTAAGATCTGATTGTTTCATATAAATCTGATCAAAAGAATGTTGTTTAGGTATATTATTTTCATCCATTACAAGTTCATTGTTTTCACCTAAATATGCAGGGTTTATGTAATCACTATAAGTGTTGATCCACGAAGCCCAAATAAGTCTTTCACCATTGACGGCCCAGAATTTTTCCCAAGTATTTTCTGACTGGTAGTTTTCATCTGTGCCTGTGGTTACGAAATTGTGTTCCATGCGTTCAAGTTTATCATGAGTATCAGAGTGATAGTCTTGATAAGTGAGATCAGCACCACTATCACTTGGCTGTAGAGCATGTGAAACTGCCTGGATATGCACCAGATCATGTTCATCTGTGGAACAACAGTTCTCTGTGTGTGAAGCACTACAGTAACAGCTTGCACCATCATCTCTCTGGAAAGTTATAATACACACATTTGTTACTTTTAAGACTTATTAACCAGTTAAAGTTATCTTTGTGATAAAAAAAAATGAAAATACTTATCACAGGATGCCAGACTACAGTCGTTTGTAAAAAAACTGTTTATTGTAGTAACTTAAAACTTTAAATATATGGGGCTACAATGTAATTTGTGTTAGATAATGGTGTAATACATGTTACAGAATAGTATTCTGAAATATTGAGTATGAATAAAAAACTAAAGTTATCATTATCATCAATACAATGATAAATAGAAAATGAATTATATAGGTGTGGAATAATAAAGGAAATCATAAAAACTAAATATTTAACTTAGCATAAAATTCTTACTCTAATAACTTAGAATAAAGTTTGTGGGAATATTCCTCCTGACTAAACCTCCTTTCTAAGGAGAGGCCTATGTCCAGCAGTGGACTATTAAAGGCTGTTGATGATGATGATGGGAATATTCAATATTATGACTAAAAATGTAATAATGTACTACACTTATAAATTATTCTCACCTCACATTTAACTTTATAAGAAGTGTCTAGAGAGAAATGTACGTGGGACTGATCCTCCCAATCTTGAGAGTTTGAATCTTGTACCACTTCTACATCACTCTCACTTACACACTGATTGTCAACAAAGTAGGTCTTGATTCCATCTCTAGAAAAAATAATTATACTTTATTGTGATGAGACAGACTAGAGTATTTTATTGGTATTCATCTTAAACATGTACAAAAAGCGTAATGGCTTAAGCAGTCGCCACATTTGATATTCAATACTTTATTTTTAAAAAAATAGTTTTAAATTTTATTTTTTTTTTAAACTTATTAAAAAAAGAAATCTATTTGTTAGTTTGGTTTTCTATAAAAAGCGTGTTTTTTAGTTTTTTAAAACTATGTTTTTTTTTAAATTAGTGTATTGTCATCGGTCCTCGATATTAACAACAACACTACAAAATTTGAACAAATTCTGACCGTTAAAAGTCAGTCAAAAACACGCCGGAGTTGGTTACAAACAAACACACAAAAACATACAAGTGAAGCTAATATAAAGCATGTAAAAATAACAGTATGACATTTGTGAGATCGAGAGTAGACTGGAACTAAATTTGAACAAAAATTTATAACGAAAATTGACCTTCTTGTCAATGAAATAAAACATTCAAAGCGTTTGAAATTAAGCTACCAGGCGATGTATTTTCGAATATATTTTACTAAGTCAGACAGTTATATAGATGCAAATTTAAATGTTTAATTTTACAAGTACTGGCTAAATTAACTGGCAACATGCAACTGAGGATAGACAAATTGATAGTCTAGAAAATATAACTTATTATTTAATAGTATTATTAAGTAACTTCTATAACTAATACCTTTAATTACTTTAAAGATGTTTTGTTGTCTAGGAAAACAATGCTTTGTTTTGAGCATGCTCTTTAAACCTGGTAGGTTATCTATACATGCAATTTTAATATAGTGGTATTTCAATGATAAAGATAAATTCTGTTAAATATTTACCCAAACAAATTCAAATATAAAATAAAATTTCCACTCCATGTCCTACTGACCTACTAGATAGTTTTCAATTTTTTGCTTATAAAATAAAGTTATTATTACGAAATACAAGTAACAGACCTGATAAAAACTCTGCTACAAAAACAGTAAATGTAGTTGTCTTCATTATCAATAGATTCTTCATCATCATCATCACCAATATAAAAATTGAACTCTGCTAGAGTTTCACAACGTTCGTGATAAGGACGTGAACGGACTCCAAAATATTCAGACATTTTCCAAACTTTCAATGCTCATTTAACGTTCGGCTATTCAATTTCAATCAAGACCATGACATGTGTTGTTCTCTTAGTTTTTTAAGTCGCTCAGAAAATCGAAAGCCCGCACCTCGCTCGCGTTTCTTAACGCTCCGTTCCCACAACTTTGAACTCTATATTTTTGAAATGTGTCAAATGTGTGACTGTTCTGTTCTGTTTGATCTCTGTACCTTACACAAAAATCGATTTTCGAAATATTATGCATAGAATGAAACGTGAATTGTTTAATTTTTTCAGTGTGGCCCTTTTTAAAATTAGCACCCTAGATACCACAGATTACTATTATGCGAGAACCTTCCTTATTTTTCTTATTTCAAAATTAACGAATTTTTAAATATTGTGCATGGAATGAAACGTGAAACATTTAATTCGTTCATTGTATTAATTTAAAAAATATCACTTTCAAGATCGATATCAATCTTAGATATTTTCATGTTACAGATAGTAGAAGTTAAAAAAGATTTTTTTTTTATGTCTTTTCTTTATTCAAAATATTAAAAATATACTAATGAAATTAGGATCATTTTATTTTTATTTAATAATGCCCAAAATAGAAATACTCCCTCCTTGAGGGATGTCATAGTATCTTAGATGTTCATTATTCATCACAGAGGTGATTGCCTCTGAAATCAAAATGTTCTAGATTATGTAAGAGTATCTAAGAGTTAAGAGTTGCTATAGGGACATCTTAAAGGCCTGCAAAATATAGTACAATACCTTGTGGTAGTTACTAAATTAAAAAGAGGTTTTCTGTTTCTTATAATAGTGCTACTTTGATAGATAAATAGACAGATAGGTACTCTTTATTGCACACTTTAATTAGGATACATGCGATTATACATACAGAACAAAAAAACAGTGATACAATGGGCGGCCTTATCGCAGCCAGCGATGTCTTCCAGACAACCTTTAGATGGACTATACTATAAAGTAATATAGGGTGTGGTGCGCATTTACTACATCTGTATATTAACTAATGTTTACATACATAATTACACATTCACGAATATACATTCATACACTTACATACATATATAGATATGAATACATCCATAAACATTCATACACATACCAGTATCATCATAATGGGGTGCCATCCTCAAAATGAAGTTTGGAGGTCAGCAGACGGTACACCTCTCGATCATGAGCGGCCTCCTTTAGTTGACGATATCGCAGTCCGGTCCAGGCCACGATGTCATCTATCCACTTCCTTCGTGGTCGACCTGGTGTCTTCCTGCCTGGTATTTTTCCTTCTAACAGAAGCCTCAGGAATTCATGTTGCGGGCCCCTTTGTATGTGTCCAAAGAAGGCCACCTTCCTTTTCGCTATAACCGCCATCAGTTCTCTCCTGCACTTGGCTCGCTCCAGCACCTCTACGTTGGATGTAAAACTAGTCCACGGGATTTTAAACATCTTCCGCAATAACCACATCTCGAAAGCTTGCAGTCGGTTACATATGTCTTTCCTTAAGACCCACGTCTCACACCCATACAACAGTGTGGACCAAACGTAGCATTTCATGACGCGGTGCCTCAAAGGAAATGGGATTTTTGGGTCGCATAAAACCTTAGACATCTTGAAGAAAGCAGTCTTAGCTTGTCCTATTCGACATTTCACCTCTTCCAAATGGTCTAGGTCATAACAGTATAGCACATAGTTATTACGGAGATAAATAGTGATCCTTAACGAGTTCTTTAAAAATACCTACTGACTTTGCCTGCCTTATAGCTTCCGGTAATGAGTTCCAGAGGCGTGCTGCTTTCACCGTATAAGACGTATCGGTAAAAGTTGTGGAGTGTGTTGAAATTTCTAAGGTCAAATTTTCCGATGATCTCAAGTATCGAGTATGTGTGTCATGAATAAATGCAAATCGCTTCTTTAAGTAGATAGGGGTTTTAGGAATAAATAGAGTATTATACAGTAATGACAGGATGTGAGTATTCCGGCGAAGCCGAATCGGGAGCCACTTGAGTTTTGTTCGACATTCGGAAACATGATCATATTTGCGCCAGCCGAAAATAAATCGTATACAGAAATTCTGAAGTCTCTCTAGTTTATCAAATTGGTCTTCGTTCAAATCAAGATAGCTGACATCGGTATAGTCGAGAATAGGTAGAAGAATTGATTGTGCAAGTTCAATCTTAGTGGTAGTAGGAAGGAAATTACGTGATCTTCTTAAACAAGCTACAGAGGCAAATATTTTACGGCTAACATTTTGTAATTGAGCATTCCATGACAGGTTTTTATCGATGTATATCCCTAAATTTTTAACACTATTGCTAATTGGAATTGTTACTTCTTGAAAAGACACTTGTGGTAGTGCAAGTCAGTCAACCTTTGCGATAAGTCTGGAGCTGCCGATTATTGTCACTTGAGTCTTACTAGGATTTACTTTGAGCTCATACATTGTTGTCCATCGACATATGTTGCTCAGATCTCTATTAATGGCGTCAATAGCTAGTGTCAGTTCATTAAGAGTACTTTGGTAATATACCTGCAAAACGTCTGCGTATAGGTGGTAGGAAGAAAGGAGTCGATTAGTGATGGTATTAATGAATATTGAAAATAACAGGGGAGATAAAACGCTACCCTGTGGCACACCAGCGGACGTATTCGACCAGGTAGAGTAGTTGTCATCCAGGCGGGTACGCTGCTGGTGACCAAATAGGTAACTACGAAACCAATAGCTGATGGAGATATGTTAGGAGAGTTTAAAATGGCAAGGAGAACGTCAAAATCAACAGTGTTGAAGGCGTTGCTAGAGTCTAATAGACATAGCACAGTGAGTTTACCATTCTCCATATCGTCCTCATATCGTCTGTAATATTAACGAGAGCGGTTGTTGTGCTGTGGCCCGGACGGAATCCGGATTGGAATGAGTTAAGGAGGTTATTTCTGCAGAGAAACGAATTAAGCTGGTTATGGATAAGCCGTTCAAGGACCTTTGACAGAAAGGGTAAAATGGAGATGGGTCGGTATTCGGAAAAAGATACGGGGTTATGATTCTTAGGTAAAGGAATAAGCTGAGCCTCTTTCCATTTTGATGGAAATACACCGCCAATGATGAATTCATTAAGTATACGGGTGATTATGGGTAAAATTTCATCAAGGATAAGGAGAACTATGTTGCGACTGATAGAATCAGAGCCAACAGCATTAGACGTAATGGACCAAACACTCTTCTCAACATCACAAGCAGACACTTGACTAAAAACGAAAGGAGGGTAGTCAGGGGTTGGAAGTGTTGAAAGATAATTTAATGTATTATTTTTGGTTGTCTTATTAAAACTAGACGAAGAAGAGAAGTGCTGGTTGAGTAAGTTATTGTCTAATTGGTTGCGAGACAGCTTTTGACGCTGTTTTCCAATCCCTAAATACCTAAGAAATTTCCAGACTTTAGCTGGATCACCGTTTTGTACGGAGTTATGAATATGCTGGCGTTGTGCATTCCTACACACCTTGTTGCATTGATTTCGCAAATGTATATATTTTTCTTTATTGCAATCTGACGGTCTAGCTTCATATTTTGATTTTGCCGCTGCTTTGCGATTAATTAGTTTTTTTATTTCATCTGTAAGGTGATGGTAGATGTTTCAGCTTAACAGGTCGAACCGGTGCATGTACGTCATAGAGTGCTACCAACTTATTGTTAAATAATTCAATCATTTCATCAGTGGATGATGCTGACAGAAGAGGGACCCAGTCGATGTTCTCTGTATTTTTTCAAGAAGATCACGATCTATACCACTGAAATTGCGCTGCATTAGAAGTCTCGACTTTGCCTTACGAGGACGGGTTTTGTATGAACGAAAGAGAAGGTCAAGATAAGAAAATTCGTCTGCCGCGCATTGTCCATGTTTGGCAACGCGATCGCCTGACGAAACAAGAATAAGATCAAGAAGAGAAGGAGCACGGTTAGGAAAATTATGGGCGGCATTTAGAGGAAGAAGGGAGAGATTAACGGATTCTGCAATAGAGAGTAGAGCCGAAGAACGGGAATCATTTTTCAGTAGGCAAGTGTTAAAGTCACCCATAATAATAGTTTGACTATACAATGGCAAAAGGGATCGTAGGATATTCTAGAAGGAGGAAAAGAAATTGAAACGTTAAGAGGGACAGTAATAAACGCCTAGTAATAATTTTAAATGGTGCAGCTCGACTTCCATGAATAAGTGCGCACCAGCGTTTGATGGGGGTGGTTGTGAGGATATACTAACCACCTTGTGGGGTATGTGATGCCGGAGATAGATAGAAACGCCACCGCTACCACCTGTAGTTCGATCATTTCTTATTAGTCTGAAACCAGGCAAAGAATAAGAGGATGAAGGAAGACAAGGCTTAAGCCATTAAACAAGAATAGCGTGAATATCCTTGCAGTCAAGATTTGTCAGCATATCGGGAAAGTGAGCGGGAATACTCTGCGCATTTAAATGAATGACATTGAAATTTTTGGTAACATCGGAAAATTGACGCTGAAGTGTGTCAGCCAGTGGTGAAATACTGACGAAACTGTCATTGTCATCACTACCGAGTGAATAAAACTCTTTACTATCACTATCAGAGGTCATAAGACTCAATCATGTATAAAATTAAATATAAAAAATAAATATATTATAAAAATAATTTTTAAAATAATATATAAAGTATAAAAATAAAAATGTATTAATAACAGTAAAAATAATATAATAAAAAGTAATAGGTATATATGTTATCTACCTATTTGTTACCCAATACAAATTCCAAAGGCAATTGTAGTAAAGTCTACCTGCCAGTTGCCTGGTGTTCACAATTTATGTAGCTAATAAAATAAAACTAAAAATTAGGAACACAAACACATCCACAACATTAAAAACTAGGCATAAGAACAAAAATAGTATATAAAACAAGTGAAAAACATGCCAGTCAAAAGTTGCAAAATATAAAATTTGCCAAAATCGATAAAGCATGATTAGTCATTTAATAATAATAAAAAGGTATTCAACATAAAAATACAATTAACAGTGATAATAATAACATTATTAAATAAATTAAAAAAGAGAAAAAAATAATACATTCCTAATCAAGCTATGTTCAGTAACGAGAATATCAGCCGGAACGTAAATGCTTTCTTATTCTGAAATCGATTACGACATGACAAATCTATCAAAGTAGCTTAAGCTTTTAAATATTACACTTTTCTGAAATGATAAGATAATTCTAGTCGTCTCAAAAAAAAAAACAATGTAGCTACATCTATATAAGCACTTTCTATTACTGTCACTTTGACAGTCCTACTATTATTATTGTCATATTTGTAATATTGACATCGCTTTTTGTTTATAAAGTTTTAATATAAATTTTCTGTTATATTATTAGTTTTAACTTAGCTATGGGGAAGAAAAATAAAGATACTTTGGGACGAGCCCTGATCAAGGATAGATTTTCTAAGAATCGGCACCGAAAATTTGTGGAAGGAAATTCTATGGTAAACTTTATAGATAATAAATCAGATACCGTTTTTTTTTGTGTTAGTCTGCAAAAACGCGTTGTATTTAAAGTGTTTGTATGTTTTTAAACAATGATACTATATTTATATCGATTTCAGATCTAAAAAGTGGGTATTGCAAGAAAGCGATAAGCCCACAAATCCAAATCATAAATGTATTCTTAGTTACAATGATTTAATAATTCCAATTGCGCAATAATAATGCACAGTATTTTTTTTCTGTTTATGTAATGTGTATGTAATCTCTATAATTTGTATTGTATATATATTAAATTACCTTAAAACCTTATGTATTTTTAAAGTATAAAGGAGTCCCATGACAAAAGGAAATATTCATGATATCATATTTGTACTTATTATGCAATTTTGTACACATTACTCTTACAAGAAAATGTTTGAATTTAAAACATGTGTTTTTATTGCAAAATATATTCTAACAAATTATGGGGTACCATCTAAATAAGTCTTTGTTTATTTGTTTTAGTTACATACAAATGAACTCAATGATGGCCAAGACTTGGGCCGCCTGAACTTACAATCAATCACTGCTGAATCATCGCTGGAGGAGTTCCTCTCGATTGCAGAACTAGCACAAAAAGAAATTGCATCTCAAAAAGCTCAGAACTGTTATTTGGGACATTTTGCTTATGAACCTTATCGTGATGATACAACTCAGCCAAACTTAGAGCAACCATTGACAGTGCCTAGAAGGTAATAATAATATTATAGAATAATGAATATATGGCCAGATGGCATAGTGGGTATAACAGACTGCTACTCCAAAGGTTGCTCAAGTCAAATATTTGTGTGCATGAACATTTATGTTTGATTTGGTCTAGGTATTATATGTTAGGACTAGATAGCTTTGTGTGAATGTGGTAGAATATTATTACAATTGTATTATTATTACCAAAAAATACATGATATAATACATTGCCAGTGGCCCCACAAAATGCAAGCATGGTCTGTTGGTGCAACAGTAAATAAGTAAGTGAAGAATAGGAAACTTGTCCATAGGTATGTCTTAAGTCTTAGTAATAATTCTTTAATCAGCAAGTCTTTTTAGAATTCTATAGTAATAATAACCTCAGACATCTCACAACCCAGCATTCTGATCCCAAGCTATGCAGAGCCTGTACAATGTGTCAATTTATTTCCACCGGAATGTTTTGCGCAGTATTAAGTAGATATGGCTGTGGCATTAATGGCTTATTGCAGTGCATACTAAGTGTCATTTCCGGTCGCAGAATATTATATGCGAGAGTTGAAACCTAAGTAGACAGGCCCTAAGTAGCAGTAATAAACAAATCATGCTAAGAATTTTGTAAAGGATTATCTGATCTGGACTTTATTGTGTTAAATTGCCACTGGACTCAGCACCCACCAGGGTCTAGATAAGGTTATATTTCACTTCAATAAATTGAAATTCAATTAACGTAAATAACATGCTTTTCTGTTATGTTGAGTGACCCAGAACCTTGTAAGCACTTATTTGAATATTCATTTTACAGACCCAAATGGCATCTAGGCATAACTGCAAAAGAGCAACTAACTCGTGAAAGGGAATCATTCCTATTCTATTCCTATATTCATTTTGTCAACTTAATAAGTTGCAAAATGAATTTGGTGCTGCGGTCACTCCATATGAACGAAATCCTGAATTATGGAAACAGCTGTGGAGGACCTTGGAGAAGTCTGATGTTGTGTTGCTACTTCTTGATGCTAGGAATCCTTTATTGTTTAGGTATGTGTGGTACTGGTAAACAAATTCGAAGTAATAGAGTTTCTTCTTTCCATTTATTTTAAAATTCAAATACTCAGTACAGTAATTTAAAATCCAATATGAAGATTTCATAACATAATATGAGTAGTTATACAAAAGTCCCATTTGTATAGTTTCAAACTAAGCAGAGCTAGTACTATGAAAGCTAGATTGACTGATAGATAAGCAATACTTGAATAAAGTAATAATGAAATTTAATAATAAAGCAATAATTAATTATTTTCTACATCTTCATCCAATCCTTTCCTTAAAAAGGAGGTTTCGGCCTACTATACCACGCTGGCCAGACGGATTGTTATAGGGTTGTTTTCAAGTTTTCCTTCTCTTAAGAGTGCTGCTGTTCTGCATAGTTTGCTCCCTTAGTCGGCTATTACGACACTCGTATGAGTGGTGGTGACACTCTGTATTCTTAATCCATCACCACGCAGACAAATCTTATTAGTTTTTAATAATTATTCACAACTGATAACACTATCATTGACTGAATATTCTCTGAGAATGACAAAATTACCTTGAATAGCAGAATAAACTTATACGCTTATAATAATATTTGTCACACAGATGTGCAGATTTAGAACAGTATGCTGAAGAAGAGAAATGCAAGTGTATACTTCTGTTAAACAAGGCAGATTTAATAAATGAATATGAAAGAAAATGTTGGGCAGAGTACTTTACCAAAGAGGTAGGTTATTACATCTGCCACAACAAAGCAATCTAGTTTCAAACTAAGCTGAGGTTGTACTATAACATACTAGCTTTTGCCTGCGGCTCCGCCCGCGTAAATGTCGGTTATCGCGGTAAAGAGGAGCATGTCTTTAAAATTTCATCTAAATTGGTTCTGCGTTTCTTGATTCCCCATACAAATTTCCAACCCCCCTTTTCACAACCTTAAAGTATGATTTCTGGGATAAAAACTTCCTTATGTCCTTTCCCGGGACTCGGTCGATCTATATACCAAATTTCATCTAAATTGGTTCAGCGGTTTAAGCGTGAAAAGTACCAGAAAGACAGATAAACACACTCGTATTTTATAATATTATTATGGATCACTAGCCATCTTCATCTTAATTTTTACATAAATATTATTCTAGCATATGTTATTCTTTCTAGAATGTTTTAATAATATTCTTTTCGGCTGCCAAAAATACTAATGAACGAAAAATATCAGAATCTAGCACTGAAGCTGCCCCCAACAGTCATAATGATTCTGAAACTGAGTCCGCTTATTCTGAAGATGAATCTGATAATGAGAAAGAAAACTTAACAGCTACAGAAGAAGATATAGAAATTTTTAAAAAACAAGTGGCAGAAATTGACATAGCTGTTCGTAATACGTCAGATAAAATAGACATGATTCAAGAAAATCTAGATAAAGTTGTTGAATGTTTAAGACTTGGTAAGCCTATTGACGATTACAAATCTTCTGAAAGCACAAATAATGAGAATGTTGAAGAAAAAAAAGAAATTGTAATAAAAGTACAAAATTCCCATGAAATATTTGACAGAGAGCAATTATTGGAGGTTCTGAAAAATGTGTCTGTTGATAAGTTAAAGAATCCACCGAGACTAACTGTGGGCATGATTGGGTACCCAAATGTTGGCAAGTCTAGTACTGTCAATGTTATAATGCAGACAAAGAAGGTGAGACCTAATTTTTGGAACTATTTATTGTGTAATAGCAATTCATACTGATATTTTTCAATGAATAGTGATGGAGCTTTATTATTTTTTTAGAATAAAAATCTAAAAATTGTACAACAAATCTCTAATTGAATTGAAGTGGGTGATACTTTAAAAAAATGATTTACTTTTAAAAATAGATTACTAGCTGCGCCCCGCGGTGTTACCCGCGGTTAATCTGATACATTGAACTAGGTCACTTGCTCACACCATGGGAACACTACATTTTTCGGTATAATCCAGGGTGTCAGCTACCTCCATATCAAAGTTGGTCGAGCTGTTTGAGCATGAAGAAGTATCAAACATACAAACATACACTTACGACTTTTTAATATTAGTGTGATACATACAATGAGGCAATTGTAATAAAGCTGGCTATTACTATTGTTGGAATAAAATATGTTTTACTAACAGGTGAGCGTAAGCTCGATGCCGGGTCACACGCGACACATCCAATCGTTAATGTTGGATGACGATATAGAAATGTTGGATTGCCCCGGCCTAGTATTGCCAGCTTACGCTGTAGCCCCCGACCTATTGTTAACAGCTGTATTGCCAATCGATCAAGTAAGTGGTAATTTGTTGTTATATAGTGTCATTTTTGTAATTATTTATTTTGTATGATGATTTTTTTTGCCACCAGGATATAATAAGAGACCAAGGGTAATAATCAGCAATTGCGATTTAAAAAGTTAAAATCCGATGATAATTATTTAGATTATAATTTCAAGCACTTTTAATGCATGTTTCTACGTTGATTCGTATCCTGATAAAACCTTATCACAAAATAGATTCTGAGACATATCCTGGCTGTAGTGTAAATACCAAGAATATTATTTTTCTCATAATTGATTATACGGTAAACAAATACTCTAGAAGCTTAAAATAACTGTGTAATGTAATAATAATGTTTTAACAAAAGAATAACAACATGAGTTTTAAAATCCAGCTACAAACAGAATCAGACTGAATCTAATCATAGTTGTGATACTGAGAATCCCAGTTTATTTTCAAGTTTTTGTAACCGACATCTTTTATATTAAAGTACTATTCTGTCAAGAAAGTACCAGGAAAAGATCAATAATACACAATATGTTTGTTATTTAACCAAATTTATTTTATCACCTTCAAAGTATGATCCTTCAGAAACGATACACTTACGCCAACGAATAATCCAATCATCAATACATTTTTTAAACGCTGTTGCCGGAATTTAGTGCAGTTCTTGCCACGAATTCTCCTTTATGTCTTCCACCGATCGAAAACGGGTGCCACGATGTGGTAATTTGAGTCGAGAAAAAGAAAGAAGTCGGCTGGAGCCATATCTGGTGAATATGGTGGTTGCTTGATGGTATTTGTTGAGTGTTTGGTCAAAAATTCGTTCACAATGAATCTGAACAGGTACGAGACGAGTTCCCTTCTGACACTCAGTTCGTTGTATCCCACCATACCCAGAATAAATAACGTGGGATACATTAATGGATACAATGGGTATACTCCATAGTATCTTAAATACAATAACCTAACAAATTTATTTTGCACTCGCTCCACCATGAGGCTATATTTATTATAGCTTCATGCGGGGCCCAGATGACTGCGTTACTCTCTAGCTGACTTCTTAACAACGAGTTATACAGTGCTATAATTGTATTTAGGTTTCTGAAGTCCTTTACTGTTTGTAAAACAAAACCCTAATTTCTATAAGCTTTTATACAACATTTCACTATGTGATCACGAAATCTTAGCTCAGTATTAATACAAACTCCTAAATCCCTAACCTCTGTGACCCTTACCATTTGCGTCCCGTCTACGTTATAATTGTACGAGATGGGTGCGCGTAAGTGAGAGAAGGTGATAGCACTTCGAGGCATTAAACTGCAAGAGATTGTCTCTACTCCAGGTTACCACCCTATCTATGTCTGTCTACAGCTTCTTGCAGTCCTCCAAGTTGTTTACAGGGAGAGAAAGCTTGAGGTCATCTGCGAACAGTAAGCATTTCGCAACTTGGACTACTCTGGGTAGATCATTAATCATTAAAATGAATTCCAGAGGCCCAAGGTTGCTATCTTAACTTACGCCAGACTTGGCGAAATATGGCTCCGATATATGCCCCCATATTCCTACTGCTTCCTATCATGCATGTAGCTGGCAAAAAATTAAGTAAGTGGGGGGAAACCTATGCTAGCTAGCTTCTTCAGTAGCACGTCATTATTGACCAGATCAAATGCTTTCCGATAGTCGAAGTATGCAGCGTCAAATTGACACCCTCGAAACCACCACCGGGATCACCTCTGTTGTGTAAGCGAGCAGGTTACTAGTAGTGCTCCTTTGGGGTCTAAGTCCATGCTGAGCATCTGTAAGCTGCAAGCTCACTTTTAACAGAATACTGTTGTGGATAGCAGACTCGAAAAATTTTGCTGGGGTCGACAGGACTGCAACAGGCCTGTATTCATCAACTCTTGAACCTGATCCACCTTTCGGCACTGGTATGACACGAGTTAACTTCCACCTGTCTGGAAACATAATCGCATAAACATAATCGATTGTCGGTCAGTGTTGGCCCAGCCAACACTGACCGACAATCCCTAAAGATGTAAGGCGGGATGCCATCAGGTCCTACTGACCGCTTTGGTTTAAAATTTTGTAACGTGCGTCTTACATCCGGTAACTGTAGTCGGTCCAGATGTATTCTTGCTCCGGCATTCTCGCTACCCGCTTCCGCCATCGTCGCTTGCACATTAGCTTATAGCATATACGGAATGGAAGGAATCCGCTAATTCTCTAACGCATTCATCACCAGCCAGTACAACTCCGTCTTTTAAAATCGTTTGCTGGTTCCTTCTACTTCTCTTTGATTTAATGTAGTTCCAGAAAGATTTAAGAAACTCTTGAAATTCGTTTTGAATGCTGTCTTGGTATTCTTGTTTAGCCATTCGTATCTTATGTTTTATCATAGCGAAGGCCTCGTAATCACTATTTTGTCTCCTCGATTTGTATCGCTTATGAAGTCCTGCTTTCAATTTTATGTTTATATTAGTGTACCACTTGGGGCATGTGTACAGTCGAGCTTACACGACTTCGCTTTTTTCTAGGAACGCAGTAATCGTTAATGGAATTTATGTATCATAAAAAAAACTCATTTCTAAATTTGAAACATAAAGCCCTGACCAGTCAATGAACCCCTATTTGTGACCACAAGGACTGGAAATCGGCTTAATTAAAGTTGAATCTTTGTAATGCCTCGTGTATGTACTTACCAGCGGTATACAGGTCATTATGTGGCGGTACCTCCGAACCGACGACACAAGCACGGCCGCCACCGTTGAGCGAACTATAACCTCGGTACCAGTGGTTCCTCTGCCAGTCCAGTGTTTCCGCGCGCACCACTACACTCTCACACTCCGCGAAGGTACTTAGCACTAGGTCCAGACATCGAACAATACAATTTATATACAATATTACCTATACCATTGCACTGTGTGAATCTAAAATACGTCACAGTATTCATAGTGGTTGTTTACGTACGCAGGACAAGAATATAAATTAAAGTCACGGACTACAATTACTTCAATATAACTGTCACAATACTGCTCAACTGCTTACTGCTCGCTACTATTCGGTGGGATGTATACCAAACAACAAAAATAACAAGGTATTATGACGGTATACAGCAGCACAAACTAGTTCAAATACATGATTGTCAATGTTTACGTCCTGGATCGCCTTTATTCGTCATAGCTCGAGACGCGGTTTGCCGCCGCCCTGCTTTCGCCCATATGCCCGGTCACAAAGTAGGATTGTGTAGCCCAAAGGAATAAAGTCTGCGTCACTTATGGATTCATTGCAGCCTGTTTCAGTGATTGCAAATAAGTCTGCGTTTGATGAAGTAATACCCAAAATAAAAATCCTTATTTGGTGCGAAGCCCTCTTACGTTCTGATATATTATCTATCTTTTGCATTGGTGATTCTTTATCATGTGATCTGCGAAACCACACCCAGTCACAAAATTCAATATTTAGAGGCCATTGCTCAGGCTGACCCAATATTTCATATTCACTTTCCGGGGCCCCTATAATAAAAGAGGCGTAATCTCTTTCAGTTTTGTCTTATTTTTTCAACAGTAATCGAAAGGATATTTTCATATATGTTTTTAACATACTTTTCCAACATTTATTTCGATGTGTCCTTCTGTAACTGCCAAAAATGTAAATAATTGTTTTTTTCTTGCTAACAGCAGTCCAATTGTCTTCCTTCGCAAATTCTTGTTTCCCTGTAATATTATTATCAATAGCTTGTTTTGCTTTGATCATTTTATCTTGTTTGTTGTTGTGTTTGTTCCGGATTGCTAATTCCATCAGCCGCTTTCGTGGGCACACATTCCTTCACTACTACATATCGGTTGGTTTTGTCTGCTTATGCATTGAAACTTGTTTCAATGCATTCGCAAATGATAATGTGGGCTCCTTAGAAAAATTACAGTCGGTTCCATTTTTATTTTCCGTTTGACTTTGCTTCCTTAGTAGCGCCTTGAGTTGTTCGTTCCTTTTTGTAAGTAATTTAATTATTTTCTCCAAAAAAAAAAAACACTTTTTCTGTCTTTTCTTGAACTACCCTCATTATTTTACTTACTTACTTACTCGTAGCTCGTTTTCAGCTTTATCAAATTTACTTTTTAGCATTGTACATTCCTTCTTTTCGTCATCAAATCTTGATATCATTTCCAAACGAAATTTACGCATCTCTTCGAATAGTTGATAGACATTCTCGTTCATAATTATTTCCTTGGATCTAACTCGGCTACCTCGCTCCTTATTTACAAAGTTGCTTGGTGTAAAGGTTTTACAAAGGTTTGTCATGGAAACGGTGCTTCTAATCGGCGTCTCAGTATTATCACGTTTTGGAATAGCATTGATACATTCTGGGCACATCCATTGACTCTTGTCTTCTTCAGTAACTTCAAACTTTTCGGTTGTTAATGCCAGACACTTCAAATGATATAATTTATGGCATGTCTCGTGACAAATAACACGTCTGATCACTTGTACAGATACCCACATATGTATAAGATATTAGTATATACATATTATATATTAGATAGTGTCGCGATATCGGCGGGCCAACTTTACTATATTGGAGTGCGAGCGAATCAAGCTTTTAAATTGACAACGACATAACTCAACCAGGAATTTGGTGGCCAACAGTTAGACAATATTTTTTTCTACAGTCTATCTAGACATTAATGTTCTAAGGTTATATTAATTAATTAGACATATATTTTGTTTAGATGCGTTCCCATGATGCAGCCATGGCGCGACTGTGTCAGCTAATTAGCAAGCAAACGTTTATGGAAAAATATGGACTACTATTGCCCGACGATGGGTCGAAAGAACCGGACCACAAACAGATCCTCACTGCACATGCTTGTAAGTTGGTTATTAGAGCAAAACAAATAGTGACATCTTTTTAAAAGAAAAAAAACAATGAAATCGTGTCGCTCTGATTTTTGCTACTTTTGGTGTCTTTACATAGTATAAAATGAAGTCGTTTTTTTTCTTTCTTTACACTTCTATAATAAGTTAAATTACAAAAGATCCATATTTATTAAAACTAATTTGAAATAATACAAGAATAAAAAATATTAAATAGTCCCTTTATAACTAATTGATCAAAAAATATGATCCTGAAAGTAGCTTTGACGACGTAAAAAGATGAAATTTAGTAGCACAATATATTTCTATTGACGTTCTCATAAAAAAGATATAATCTTTATAGTCAACTGGTTCTGTGGTAAGGTGTTAAATTTGTATAAAGGAGTCTTTTTCGGTCTTCTAACCGCTGTTTTCCCCAAATTCTTAGACGTTTCCATTTTTATTAGAAAACTGTTTTAATAGGTAGTCCCAAATAACATGGAACTTCCTCCTTTAATTTTATTACCAAATCGAAAACTATGTAAACATGTTACTTCAGCTAACTATAAAAAACTATTTGGCTCGTTCATGTGCCGATATATGAACGAGCCAAAACGAGCGACAAACCGTGAGGAAAACCCGACACAATCTCCATTCGATCACATATCAATAGTCCAAGAGGGATTGCCAGACCTTTATTATTATATTATATTATACAAGATAAAAGTTTTTCTGCGAATGTGCTCAATTGAGATAGGAAGTATAGAAACATTCCGTGTGTATTTAGCTTGGATCGTTATGACTTTAGTAGTTAATAGATAGATATTTACTTAACATTCATACCTGGATTGAAATTAGAAGTCACGATATTAATTGCCAAACACTTTGTTGAACAATAGCAGCGATTACTGAGCGATGGTGATGATTATGTGTTGCCAGTCAACCGCGGGTTCATGACGGCGGCGGGCCAGCCGGACCAGTCGCGGTCGGCGCGTCTGTTGCTGAAGGAGGCGGCGAGCGGCCGCCTGCGCTGGGCTCAGTTGCCGCTCGGCGCCGAGCCTCAGCCGCTCGACATCGCCATCGCCGACAAGAGGAACGAGCGGCGGAAGCCTACGCCGAGGGAAGTCAGGGCTGTGGAGGTAACTATTATTAATTTTGATAGTTTAGTTTTAAGCCAACTCATCTATATAATTTGCTCTGTTACCACTGTATGACTTCTTCCGAAAATTATATTTGATATTGTATACTAGCTAGTGTCTGCCATGTCTTCTGAGGGATTTAGAAATTGGGGTAGTTTATTTTACTAAGAGTTTTTGACATTCTCTATGTCACCTAATTATTAAAAGGGATCATTTTTAGTTGGTTTAACTTCGATACAATCACGAATTTATGCCATAAAGCATCCACAATGATATGATTAGCTGGCTTTTACCAATCGACTGCACGGATGGCGTAGTGGTTTAAGCGGTCGCCACGCCGCTTCCTACTGCGCCGAGTGTTGTGGGTTCAAACCCCACATGGGACGACACTTTGTGTGATCCACAAATTGTTGTTCTGAGTCTGGGTGTGCTTTGTGTCCGTTTCATGTATGTTTGTAAAGTCCCCCGCGACACAGGATTTATTCCTAATGCGGGCGTTGTCTTTTTAAAAAAAAAAAAAATTTGGAATATTTTTTACAGGGTTGGCGGAACAAATCATTAGAAATCGACAGCGCCTTTTTCACCTTGAGCAAGAGTACAGCACACGTAAAAGAAAACCCAGTTTTGGGGTAAGTTAGGTATTTATTTAGCTTTATTTGCAAATTACCAATGAGGTTATTTGGACCTAAAAATAAAACTTGTACCTATTATTCTTCTCTCCTATTTATTGACAATGTTATTAAAAAACAAAGTACAAACAGTGCATAATATTGTCCCCAAATAAGACAGATGTTAATTAGATTCGAGGCTCTAGGTTTTTTTTGAGTTTATCAAAGACTGTCTATACGAGGGTAAGGGCTATGCTTTATCGTCATGTGATCAGTTTTAAGTCATCCTTACCAATTTCTTGGGGGATTTACTCTTCCTCGAGTTATAAAGGTGGCGCAGTAAGCGAGAGAGTTGAAGGAAGGGGGGAGCTGAAGGAGGGACTTGTCTGTCCCGCGATTAGAGACTTCACTTTATTTTCCGTGTGGAAACCGCCATGGGTCATCACCTCACGGTGAAGTGGTATGTCGGAATCGAGCCGACTAAAACCACACATCACATGTAAGTTTATTGCCATTATGGGATTCGGGTATAAAATAGGAAGGAAGTCTTCACTGCGACAGATCTTCGACTGTGCTACACCTAAAAATATAGAAACTAAATTATACGAATATTGTTACCGAAATCATGAAATGCGGGAACTTGCAGCCAAATTCCCGCATTTCATGATTGCGGGAATTTGGGTATTAAAGAGCAAAATGCAGTTTTAAAATATCAGTTAGCGCTAACGGAAACCTAAATAAACTTTGCAGAGACGAAATGGCTACCCTGGTGGATCCAGGGTAGCCATTTCGTCTCTGCAAAGCCAAGCGGTAATTCATAAAATTTGAGCATCGTCATGAGTTCGGCTAACGGTCGTGAAAATTGGTCTAGCATCGTAACCAGCGCCTTTATGAGTGTTGGTTTAACTATGTACGTTCGGTGAATTCGTTTGAGAAAAAAGTGTTCTCACTGTATTTAGTACGTTATATATGTTATATATAATGAGGTTGCAGTATCTAAATTTGTGCCAATTTCAACTTTTTATGACAGAAATTAATATTTGATCTGATCCAATAATATCTTCAAAGTTTTTTATAACTCACGTAGAATTTCAGTTTCGAATTGGGAAGATAAAAAATGTTTAATTTATTAAGCACCTTTTAATTTTTGCGGTTGGATTAGTATGTTATGTTGCCACTATGCCAAGCTGAGGGACTGGAGGGAAATTTCTTAAGGACACGAAAATGTAGATAACTCAGTAATTTATCTTTTGATATATTACGTTTTGCTATTAATATGCAGTCTATTCTATGATTTATCTTACCGTCTAATTCATTATCTCATCTTCCGAGCTTTTTTCCAAACTCGGTTGATGTCAGCTTTTCAGTCTACTACGATACGGCTGAATTTCGATTTTTTTACGTGGGGCGTGATGTCGAAGTTCTGAAGATAAACTGTTGTCGGACTTTTTTTAGGGCTCCGACAACCCGTAACGATTGCCACAGATGTTCCTTTTTTTTATCGTGTGGAAATATGGAAATATATAAATATCGTGTGGAAATATCGGACCGTCACCCCGCCGGGGCTCTCAGTTCGGCGGGGCGGTGCCACAGATGTTCCTATGGTAACCAGGACAGTCGGCTTAACGTGCTCTTCTACGCACTGACCAAAAAATGTAGTTTTTTTTTATGATAGAGGGGGCAGACGAGCAGACTGATCACAGGATGGAAAGTGACCATCGCCGCCCATGAACGTCTGCAACTCAGGAGTCACAAATGCGTTGCCGGCCTTTTGTCGGAACTTACAGACTCACAGACCCGTGAGTACAAAAAAATTGCACTTAAAGTTCTTAAAAAAACATTGATTTAAATCAAAACAATTGATTTTTGTCAGTGAATGATGACTGTTGGTAGCTGGTGGAATTCGTGACTTTAAAGTAGCGAAGTAGCGTTATGATATTACAGTACAGAATGTCTGGTCAATATTTGGAATAATTAAAATTTAATGTTTGCCTAAGCATAGTCGGTATACTATAAAACGCCTACATGGACAGAATAAACAGTATTATACAGATTGCTGATAATGTATACAAAAATTACCATATGTATAATTTTGTAAGAAGTCCTCAAAAAAAAACTTAATTTATGAAATTTTAATTAAATAAAATAGGTTTAAAGAACCATAACCTAAGAGTTTATAGAAGAGTGGAGCAACTACTTATCTAAAATGACTAGTTAAACTGCGCGGATTCTGGAGTGGATTAAGTTATCACTGAGCCAACTATTACTGCGTCCAGAGTTGTCTATTCGCTCTTTCCTTTTGAACAATATTTGTGTGATTTACAAATCTGGTTATAGTCTATGTCTGTTAATTGAAACATTTTAATCTTCGTTTTCTAACAGGGGAGTTTTCTTAAAAAAAAAGGCTTTCTATCTGTAGGTACTAGCTGCCCCAACAAACTTCATTCTGTTAAAAGTTATTGGCCTGAGGCTTTCTTACGCCTTTGTTTTGTTTTTTTTACGCCATTGACATCAAATGTTTGACAGGATTTTTTGGGAGAGGGCCGATCCCGAACGTAGAGGACGTCGGCAACAATAAAAAAGTAGCAGTAACTGTTGTGTTGCACTCTTACACGGTTACCGTAGAAGTATCTTTAACGTCTTAAAATTAAATTGTGCCTGGTGGTAGACTACAGCAGATTTGTGATTAAATCTGATTTGCAATGAAATCCTGGAGACCCTATTCTTCAGAAGGAAGCAGTACTATGCTAAAAGTCTTTGTTAATCCTGCTCCTCTACTGTTTTCTTCTTTATAGAACCAAGATTACTTGGTTCTAGCGCATACCATGGTAATTGTTAGCAGTTATCGGTGTCTACACTCACTCACAAGACCGTCAGTGTTCCTCGAGCATTGTCGTTTTTCGGCAACTCGGAATCGTGCACTAGTGTGCTTCAATAAACTAAAACACAGATGACAAACCCAAAAATAAACCATGGCGGTTTCGTGTGTCTATATACAGTGGTGCACAAAAGTAAAATAACTTTAAAGTCAGACGTCTTAATTAATTGGACATTATTTATGGATGTTGGTCGTCTCATTTTATATTCATTTTATGTCCTAATTGGACTAACACTTTTCATTGTGGGTGTACGACATTTACACAATTCTGACACAAGAATTCGCGTGGGCCTAAAAATGTGACTGTTTTGATTTCAGGCTAATAATGATTTACGTTTTCAGTGAAATATGTGTCTTAACCATACAATATATTAATTATATTTAAATATACACAACGTTTACCTAAATTTGTTCTTACGTAATCTGGAATAAGGTTAATTTTGTTACAGGATCGTTGGAGCTCAACCAGCTGGCAATGCTACTGGCGCTAAACCTTGGAAGCAAGAAAAGAAACACAAAAACAAAAATAAACGAGAAAAACTAAGAAGAGTATACGCATCTCTTGACGAACACTAATACTAGATAGAGAGAGAAGTACTACATTTTGTTCTACTGTGTATGAATTGTGAAGTGCCTAACTGCCTCAGCCAGCATCGGAATCCTGGGCAACGACATATCGAGCGAAGTCCAGTTTCGGGGTCACTTAAAGGGTGGAAGCTCGGTGTGCTGAACAGATCGAGGCAGTAAATCAATCCGGCCCACTGCCTTCAGCTCTATAAGGCGCAAGTCTGGCCGCATATGGAATACTGTTCTCATCACTATGCAGGGGCACCTCAGTACCAGCTTCTCCCTCTGGACCGCATCCAACGAAAAGCGACTCGAATCGTCGATAGCCCAAACATCTCCGATCGGCTCAATCCCTTGGCGTTATGTAGAGATGTGGCTTCACTCAGCATTCTCTAAATATCATGGAGAGTGCTCCGAGGAATTGTTCGGACTAATACCAGCCGCAAATTTCCGCCTCATCACCTGGATAGTTGGCGTTCCACTGCTGCTTTTCGAGACACTTTTTGCCCCGCACAACCAATCTGTGGAACGGGTTATCATCTGGCGGTATTTGCGGAACGATACGACCTTCAAGAAAAGAGCGCGTACTCCATACTAAAAGGCGGGCGTTTGTGAGTCCTGAGTTGCAGACGTTCATGGGCGGCGATGGTCACTTTCCATCAGGTAACCCGTCTGCCGAAATATACGCACTATAGACTAAAATGTTTTAGTCAAAAACATTTTAGTCTATAGTGCGTATATTTTTTTTGTATATTATTGGATTATGTTTTATATAACCTATTACTCTTTTAAATTGTAAACAAAAAAATAAATGCATAAAGGGCCCCATAATATTTTAAAAGGTGTCTCAGTCGTGAATCTAATCTTAAAACTGTTTTTAAGTAGAGATTTTATTTTGAACATCATTTAAAACGAGATTTACCGATCCATACTCAAGTGACTGATAGCTTATTTCATAGAGATGTTCATGTCGAAATCTTTACTCAAGTATAGATTTTGATAGATTTGATCTTTGTTAGACAAGCTGAAACTACTGTCAAACAGTGATTACTAGGGCATTTTACTAGGCACTAGGCACTAGGGGATATCAACGTATCTTACGAAGATAATTACGAAAGATACTTTATTTACGAAAGAATTATCCTACACATTAATTTACTTAAATTTACATTAATTGATATTCAATTCACTTAAACTCACATTCAATTACTTGTTTAAATTAAAATCACCACAACCTTTTGGTTTATGACAAGAACAATATACATTTTAGTATTTTACCGATATACAAAACCGATATTTTAGAAATATAAAGACATAGTTTGACAATTCATCATGAAAAGTAATAAATAATTTAAAGGTTCCGTTTAGCTGATAGGTAGTCATTTTTATTTTAAAATTTTTATTATATTTAATTTTAGTTTCGCAACCAACTTGTTATTGTGTTTACATTGCTACACTAGCCAATACTATATTATATTTAATTTTACAGAAATTATACTTGTAAAAGATTTTATTCAATACAATTAGCTGCGTGATACGGAATAATAATGTAAATGTTTTTTTGAAATAAATGTACAGACATTTGTTTCAAAAAACATTTTAGTCTATAGTCGTATATTTTTTTTGTATGTTATTGGATTATGTTTTATATAACTTATTACTCTTTTAACTTGTAAACAACAAAATAAATGCATAAAGGGCCCCATAATATTTTAAAAGGTGTCTCAGTCGTGAATCTAATCTTAAAACTGTTTTTAAGTAGAGACTTTATTTTGAACATCACTTAAAAGGAGATTTACCGATCCATACTCAAGTGACCGATAGCTTATTTCATAGAGATGTTCATGTCGAAATCTTTACTCAAGTAGATAGATTTGGATTTGGTGATTTTGATAGATTTGGTCTTTGTTTACGTGAGACAAGCTGAAACTACGTGCAAACAGTGATCATTTTAGGGTATATCAACGTATCTTACGAAGATAATTACGAAAGATACTTTATTTACGAAAGAATTATCATACATATTAATTCACTTAAATTTACATTAATTGATATTCAATTCACTTAAACTCGCATTCAATTACTGCACATCACAAAACTTATCAACCGTCAACTCTTTTACATCAATTATATGTATTTAACATCAAAATTATTATTGTAATGTGTCTGAAATTGAAACTTCCTCAGCGGAGGTTTCAGATTGGGCCCACTAAATCTAGTCCATTTTAACCCAAAAAAGACACAGGTTTGTGCGTTCACCGCAAAAAAGATACCATTTGTCGTATCACCTCAGTTTGAGAACACCTCCCTAACTGCCTCAGCCAGCATCGGAATCCTAGGCATCGACATATCGAGCGAAGTCCAGTTTCGGGGTCACTTAGATGGTAAGGTCAAATTGGCCTCAAAAAGGTCAGTGTGCTGAACAGATCGAGGCAGTATTTCACTGCGGGCCACCGCCTTCAGCTCTATGAGGTACAAGTCCGGCCACATATGGAATACTGTTCTCATCTCTATGCATGGTCACCTCAGTACCAGCTTCTGCCTCTGGACCGCATTCAACGAAGAGCGACTCGAATTGTCGATAACCCAAACATCTCCGATCGGCTCGATCCCTTGGCGTTACGTAGAGATGTGTCTTAACTCTGCTTTGTCTATCGCATACATCAAATAATAATAATAATGTGCTCCTAGGAATTGTTCGGACTAATACCAGCCGCAATTTCCGCCTCATCAACTGAATAGTTGGCGCTCCACTACTGTGCGCTTTTCGAGACGGACCGATACGACCTTCAAACCTTCAAGAAAAGAGCGTACTCCTTCCTAAAAAGCATAAAATAAAAATAAAATTGTATTGTACAATGGCAATAACATAAAAAAAAAATGCTATGCTTGCACTTGCACAAGCATTTGTAAGTGCTTGGAGCTTGTGGACGTTTGCCAAGCCCTAGCATGCATGTAAACACTTATATAAAGCTTTTTAACAATGCTGACATTAAACAGATACCTGGTTTATCCTCATAATCTTCTGTCTCTTTTTCATCATCATCGTCGGGCAAAGGCACGTTGGCTGCTTCTGCCACCATGCTGTTCTCACATTCACCCAACGGTGACTCCTTTGTTGGCAGCTCCTTTGTGAACAGCATTGGTGGGGTCACCCCCTTTGTCTACCTCTGATATAGCCTCATTGCAGTCACAACCAGTCTGCATATCTCTCTCATTTTGAGAATCTTTGGCTTTCTGCAAACATTTATAATATGTTGATTACAAATACACACTGGTAATAAATTTAGTGATGGTTAAAAAAGTATGTTCAAAAAACACTTAAAGGTATGAATGTTTTAAACATTTTCACAATATAGCATTGCATATAGCGGAAAAATAATATGTCAATGTTTGAGGATATAGTAATTCACATTTTGCCATTTCATTCCTAGATTAATGATATGGCGGCATTGTTAATACAACCATTTCATCATGAAGTAATTTATTCAATGATTAGGCAATAACATCTAATTCAATATTTGAACTAAACAAACAGACTAGTAAATAAAAACCAAATGTCAAGTGTCTCAGCATTGAATATGGATTTCCACATATTTCTATTCAAACTATAAATGGACTCCTTCCTTCCATAAACTAAAGAAATCCTTTATCCATACTAGTCTTAATGTTGATTCCAACTGCTCAACTAATATGTAATTGAGCAGCGGGAATCAACCCGTTTACACACCTTATGTTTGTGAACACATGTCGAGGCTTGACAAGCGTGTAAACAAACATCCTTGATCCAAAAAATGAAAAGCATCACCTTAAAATACTTACATTGTTTTCTTTGGCCATGTCGTTTGTTCTTCTGGTGGATCATCATCACCATCTTTGCAACTGGAAGAGTTAGTATTAGCAGCTATCACAGGGTTGTTACAAATTGATGAATCATGTGCACCTTCAGCAACTTGTGTTGGTGTTGATAAAGAATCCTTAGATTGATCATCTCCAGCATCAACTGGTTCACTATCATTACTGACAGTTTTGGTTTCATCTTTTAATAAATTTTGTAGTAAAGTGTTATACTACAAAATTTATTTCAAGTTTATCATGAGTATCAGAGTGATAGTCTTGATAAGTGAGATCTGCCCAACTATCACTTGGCTGTAGAGCATGTGAAACTGCCTGGATATGCACCAGATCATGTTCATCTGTGGAAAAACAGTTCTCTGTGTGTGAAGCACTACAGTAACAGCTTGCACCATCATCTCTCTGGAAAGTTATAATACACACATTTGTTACTTTTAAGACTTATTAACCAGTTAAAATTACCTTTGTCATAAAAAAAATGAAAATACTTATCACAGGATGCCAGACTACAGTTGTTTGTAAAAAAACTGTTTATTGTAGTAACTTAACACTTTAAATATAAAGGGCTACAATGTCATTTGTGTTGGTTAATGGCGTAATACATGCTACAGAATGGCATTCTGAAATATTGAGTATGAATAAAAAACTAACACTACTAACTATCATTAACATGTTGAAAGAATATGACATACAATGATAAATTATTTTAAGCTATAAAATCCTAGAAAATGAATTATTTAGGTGGGCAATAATAAAGGAAATCATAAAAACTAAATATTGTCAATTTATAATTGACCTTCTTGTCAATGAAATAAAACATTCAAAACTTGGAAATTAGACTGCCAGGCGATGTATTTTCTAATATAGGTATCTTACTAAGCCAGACAGTTATATAGCTGCAGATTTAAATGTTTAATTTTACAATTACTGGCTAAATTACATACAACATGCAACTGAGGATAGACAAATTGATAGTCTAGAAAATATAATTTAATATTTAATAGTATCATTAAGTAACTTCTATAACTAATAGGTATTAGTTATAGAAGCTACTTTAAAGATGTTTTGTTGTCTAGGAAAACAATACAATGTTTTGAGCATGCTCTTTAAACCTGGTAGGTTAACTATACATGCAATTTTAATATAGTGGTATTTCAATGATAAAGATAAATTCGCAATCAATTCTTTTAAATATTTACCCAAACAAATTCAAATTTAAAATAAAATTTCCACTCCATGTCCTACTGACTTCCCAGATAGTTTTAAATTTTTTACTTATAAATTAAAGTTATTATTACGAAATACAAGTAACAGACCTGATAAAAACTCTGCTACAAAAACAGTAAATATATTATGTGCATCATCACCAATATAAAAATTGAATTCTTAACGCTCCGTTCCCACAACTCTGAACTTAATATTTTAGAAATGTGTCAAATTTGTGACTGTTCTATTTGATCTCTGTACCTCACAAAAAAATATAGATTTTCGAAATATTATGCATAGAATGAAACGTGAATTCTTTCAGTGTGGCCCTTTTAAAATTAGCACCCATCAGCACCCATCGTCAAAAGCGAGAGACCACAGATAACTACAATGCAAGAAACCTTCCTCATTTTTCTCAATTCAAAATTAACGATTATTGAAATATTGTGCATGGAATGAAACGTGAAAGATTTAATTCGTTCATTGTATTAATTTAAAAAATATCATTTTCGCTATCGATATAAATCTTAGATATTTTTAAATAATTTCATGCTAAAGATAGCAGAAGTTAAAAAGGAAAAAAATATAGTTAGTCTTTTCTTTACTCATAATATTACCAATATAGTAATGAAATTACGATCATTTTATTTGTATTCAATAATACCCAAAATAGAAATACTACCTATTTGTCATAATATTATCTTGGATGTTCATTACACATCACAGACGTAATTGCCTCTGACACCAAAATGTTCTATCTTATGTAAGAGTTTCTAAGAGTTAAGAGTTGATGTAGGGACATCTTAAAGGCCTGCAAAATATAGTAAAATACCTTGTGGTAACTCCTTAGGCAAATTAAAAATAGTTTTTTTTTTATGTCAGAGCAGGCAGACGAGCAGACGGGTCACCTGATGTAAAGTGACCATCGCCGCCCATACACGTCTGCAACTCAGGATTCACAAAGGTTTTCTGTTTCTTATAATAGTGCCACGTTGATAAATTTTGGCATGAGTAAATACTGTAAAGCTTTTAAATATTACACTTTTCTGATACAATAGGATAATTCTAGTCGCTTCAAAAAATACAATGTAGCTACATCTACATAAGCACTTTCTGAAACACAAGGACCATGTGTTTTTACTACTGTCACTTTGACAGTCCTGATCTTATTGGAATATTTGTAATATTGTCATCGCTTTTTGTTTGTAAAGTTTTAATATAAATTTTCTGTTATATCATTACTTTTTGACTTAGCTATGGGGAAGAAAAACAAAGATTCTTTGGGACGAGCCCTGATCAAGGATAGATTTTCTAAGAATCGGCACCGAAAATTTGTGGAAGGAAATTCTATGGTAAACTTTATAGAAAATAAATCATATGTATCATAAATCATACCGTTTTGGCGTTAGTCTGCAAATACAACAACGCAAATGCAACACGTTGTTTTTGAATTGTTTTAATGTTTTAAACAATGATACTATATTAATATCGATTTCACATAAAAAATGTGGGTATTGAAAGACAGCGATAACCTTACAAATCCAAATCAAAAATGTATTCTTAGTTGCAATGATTTAATAATTCCAATTGCGCAATTATAATGCACAGTAATTTTTTCTGTTCATGTAATGTGTATGTAATCTCTATAATTTGTATTGTATATATATTAAATTACCTTTAAACCTGTATTTATTAAGAATAAAAGAGTCCCATAACAAAAGGAAATATTTGTGTCATCATATTTGTGCTTATTATTCTTACAAAAAAATGTTTGAATTTAAAACATGTGTTTTTATAAAAAAATATATACCAACAAATTATGGGGTTCCATCTAAATAAGTCCATTATTTATGTATTTTAGTTACATACAACTGAACTCAATGATGGCCAAGACTGGGGCCGACTGAACTTACAATCAGTCACTGCTGAATCATCGCTGGAGGAGTTCCTCTCGACTGCAGAGCTAGCACAAAAAGAATTTGCATCTGAAAAAATTTACAACAGTTACTGGAGATATTTCGCGTATGAACCTTATCTTGATGATATAACTCAGCCAAACTATGAGCAGCCATTGACAGTGCCAAGAAGGTAATAACAATAATAATATTATAGAATAATTAATATATGGCCAGATGGCATAGTGGTTTGTATAACAGACTGCTACGCTAAAGGTCTCTCAAGTCAAATAGTTGTGTGCATGAACATTTAATGTTTGATTTGGTCTGGGTGCTTCTAGGTTATTTATAAGTATATGTAAGTATTTGCAAAAGGAAAAGGTATTTATGTATTTATATTAGTTGTCCTAGTACAGATAGTACAAGCTCTGCTTATTTTAGTACTAGACAGCATTATTTGAATGTGGTAGAATATTATTATAATTATATTATTATTACCAAAAAATACATGATATAATACATTGCCAGTGGCCCCACAAAATGCAAGCCTAGTCTGTTGGTGCAACAGTAAATAAGTAAGTGGAGAATAGGAAACTTGTCCATAGGTATGTCTTAAATCTTAGTTATCTCTTAATTCAATATAATTTTAATTCTGTAATCAGCAAGTCTTAGTTAGAATTCTATAGTAATAATAACCTCAGACATTTATAGATAAATTACACCCATACAGAAAAATGAATGGATGAGAATCAAACCCTCAACATCTGTCCTCAATCTTAGTAGTCAGGATCTATATAAAAAATAATCTGAATTGATGCAAATTGGATGTGATAAGGTGTCAATTTATTTTTATAAATAGATATGGCCGTGGCATTAATGGCTTATCACAGTGCGTAATAGGTGTCATTTCTGGTCGCAGAATATTATATGTGAGAGTAAAAACCTATGTAGTCAGGCTCTAAGTGGCAGTAATAAACAAATCATGCTAAGAATTTTCTAAGGGATCGTCTGATCTGGACTTTATTGTATGGAAATGCCACTGGGCTCAGCACCCACCGGGGTCTAGACAAGGTTATATTTCACTTCAATAAATTTTAATTCAATTAACTTAAATAACATGCTTTTCTGTTATGTTGTGTGTTACATCACAGAATGTGCGACCTTTACTTGGACCCAGAACCTTGGAAGAACTTATTTGACTATTCATTTTACAGACCCAAATGGCATCAAGGCATAACTGCAGAAGAGCAACTAACCCGTGAAAGGGAATCATTCCTAGAATGGCGTCGTCAACTAAATAAGTTGCAAAATGTATTGGGTGCTGCAGTCACTCCATATGAACGAAATCTTGAATTATGGAAACAGCTGTGGAGAACCTTGGAGAAGTCTGATGTTGTGTTGCTACTTCTTGATGCTAGGAATCCTTTATTGTTTAGGTATGTGTGGTACTGGTAAACAAATTCGAAGTAATAGAGTGGCTTTCCATTTATTTCAAAAATCGAATACTCATACTATATCATCATCATTAATAGCATCTAATAATCCACTGCTGGACATAGGCCGTTCCTTAAAATGGAAGTTTTGGCCTGCCATACCACGCTAGTCAGACGGATTGGTATAGGGTTGGTTTTAAGTTTTCCTTCTCTTTAGAGTGAAGCTGGTCTGCATAGTTTGCTCCCTTAGTCGGCTATTATGACACTCGTATGAGTGGTGGTGGCACTCCGTATTCTTAATCCATCACCACACAGACAATTCTATATCTTATTAGTTTTTAATAATTATTCACAACTCATAAATAACACTATCATTGACTGAATATTCTCTGAGAATGACAAAATTACCTTGAATAGCAGAATAAACTAATACACTTATAATAATATTTTTCACACAGATGTGCAGATTTAGAACAGTATGCTAAAGAAGAGAAATGCAAGTGTATACTTCTGTTAAACAAGGCAGATTTAATAAATGAATATGAAAGAAAATGTTGGGCAGAGTACTTTACCAAAGAGGTAGGTTATTACATCTGCCACATCAACGCCATCTAGTTTCAAACTAACCTGAGCTTGTACTATAACATACTAGTTTTTGCCTGCGGCTCCGCCCGCGTAAATGTCGGTTATCGCGGTAAAAAGTAGCATGTCTTTCTTCAAAAATCATAGTATCTCCATACCAAATTTCATCTAAATTGGTTCTGTGTTTCTTGATACCCCATACAAATTTCCACCCCCTAAAGTATGTTTTCTGGCCTAAAACCTTCCTTATGTCCTTTTCCGGGACTCGGTCTATCTCTATACCAAATTTCATCTAAATTGGTTCAGCCGTTTAAGCGTGCAAACCGTAAGAGAAAGACAGAGGGACACACTTTCCATCTTCATTTTTACATAAATATTATTCTAGCATATATTCTTCTTTCTAGAATGTTTCAATAATATTCTTTTCGGCTGCCAAAAATACTAATGAACGAAAAATATCAGAATCTAGTGCTGAAGCTGACCCCAACAGTCATAATGATTCTGAAACTGAGTCCGCTTATTCTGAAGATGAATCTGATAATGAAAAAGAAAACTTAACAGCTACGGAAGAAGATATAGAAATTTTTAAAAAACAATTGGCAGAAATTGACATAGCTGTTCGTAATACGTCAGATAAAATAGACAAGATTCAAGAAAATCTAGATAAAGTTGTTGAATGTTTAAGACTTGGTAAGCCTATTGACGATTATAAATCTTCTGAAAACACAAATAATGAGAATGTCGAAGAAAAAAAAGAAATTGTAATAAAAGTACAAAATTCCCATGAAATATTTGACAGAGAGCAATTATTGGAGGTTCTGAAAAATGTGTCTGTTGAAAAGTTAAAGAATCCACCGAGACTAACTGTGGGCATGATTGGGTACCCAAATGTTGGCAAGTCTAGTACTGTCAATGTTATAATGCAGACAAAGAAGGTGAGACCAAATTTTTGGAACTATTTATTTTGTAATAGCAATTCATACTGATATTTTTCAATGAATAGTGATGGAGCTTTATTATTTATTTAGAATAAAAGTCTAAAAATTATACAACAAATCTCTAATTGAATTGAAGAGGGTGATACTTTAAAAAAAATATTGACTTTTAAAAATAGATTACTAGCTGCGCCCCGCGGTGTTACCCGCGGTTAATCTGATACATTGAACTTGGTCACTTGCTCATGCCACGGGAACACTACATTTTTCGGTATAAAAAGTAGCCAGTGTGTTAATCCAGGGTGTCAGCTACCTCCATATCAAAATTGGTCGAGCTGTTTGAGCATCAAGAAGTATCAAACATACAAACATACACACTCACAAACTTACGACTTTTTAATATTAGTGTGATACATATATGAGGCACGCTGTAATAAAGCTGGCTATTACTATTGTTGGAATAAAATATGTTTTGCTAACAGGTAAGCGTAAGCTCGATGCCGGGTCACACGCGACACATCCAATCATTAATATTGGATGATGATATAGAACTGTTGGATTGCCCCGGCCTAGTATTGCCAGCTTACGCTGTAGCCCCCGACTTATTGTTGACAGCTGTGTTGCCAATCGATCAAGTAAGTGATAATTTGTTGTTATATAGTGTAATTTTTTAATTATTTATTTTGTATGATGAATTTTTTGCTACAAAGATATATAATAAGAGACCAAGGATAAACAATAATATTTATGTAGATTATAATTTTAAGCACTTTTAATGCTTGTTTCAACATTGATTCGAATCCTGATAAAACCTTATCAATAACAACCTTAAAATAGATTCTGAGACATATCCTGACTGTACATCCAGGCAGGCATAGACATAGAATATTCTTTTTGTTATAATTGATTATATGATAAACAAATGAAATGACATGCACTAGAATCTTAAAATAAATGTGTAATGTTATCAAAAGAATAACAAACATATGATTTGTAAAATCCGGCTATATACAGAATCAGACTAAATCTAATCATAGTTGTGATCGTGGGAATCTCAGTTTATTTTCAAATTTTGGAACTGACATCTTTTATATTAAAGTAAGTATATCAATATGCAACTTTAGTAATATCTCGGTACTTCAAAAAACGAACTCTGGAAGTCTGGAGAGGCTTATAATACTTTTTGTTATATTCTTAGATTTGACAATGACAAAACACGACCAGGACTTTGGTGGCCAACAGTGGGACAATATTTATTTCGACAGTATCTAGATATTAATTTTATAAGGTTATATTAATTAATTAGAAATATATTTTGTTTAGATGCGTTCCCACGATGCAGCCATGGCGCGACTGTGTCAGCTAATTAGCAAGCAAACGTTTGTGGAAAAATATGGACTACTATTGCCCGACGATGGGTCAAAAGAGCCGGACCACAAACAGATCCTCACTGCACATGCTTGTAAGTTGGTTATTAGAGCAAAACAAATAGTGACATCTTTTTAAAATAAAAAACAATGAAATCGGGTCGCTCTGATTTTTGCAACTTTTGGTGTCTTTACATAGTATAAAATGAAGTCGCTTTTTTCTTGTACGCTTAGAGCTTTCAAACTACGCAACGGATTTCAATGTGGTTTTTATCATTGGAGAAAGTGATTCAAAAGGCAGGTTTATACGAGTATGTATTATATTTTATTAGAGACTATATTATCTGACATATTTCGTGTAACTACTACTGCTACTCACTAAGACACGATAAAAAAGGTTTTCTATAAGAAAAATTAAAAAAGTCCGAAACAATATTCCGCACGCAATTATTGAAGTCGAGCCACTATAATGATCGGGATAGAAGAATAATAGGTAAACAAAACACAACACAATGCATACACGCACCAACTTGTTCTTTAAAAATGTCGTAGTTCAACCAACAATTTTCATCTTTTTATGTCGAAATCAACGTTATACCTATATTTTTAACTACTATCAAACGTGTTTTTAAGTAATAAACATGTTATTATCGTGTCTAGAATAATAAAAAAGTTTAATCAAAAGACAAATATGAATTCATTAGTACCTACCTAAGACGGTCATAAGGAGTTTTAATTTTTTTTGGAAGTGTTGCACCTATTTTTTAATTATGCACTTTTTGGTACTAATACAAGACATAGTAAGCTACATTATATATTTTTTCTGTGATTGTACCTCTGCGTACCTTATGAATAAAATCTAGAAATTTTTTTTTTGTTTTTTTTTTATAGTAAATACAACTGAAAAATTCTATAAAAATATATAAGGTAGACTAATATTTTGTCTAACGACCAGTTTTTGTTTCATTAGTGCAGCTGTAATAGTTTTCGAAAAAAAATAATATTGAAAAATACCCGCTCTAGCGTCTTTTTGATCAATTATCTCCAGAACGCAGAGACATAACAGGCTAAATTTCAGTTAATAGTGGTTTTACACCTCGCCGATGTTGCCTAATGAGTTAGTTTCAAAATATCTTTCTGAGGCCGCTGACCCTACCTTATCCTGCTAGACCCTTTGTAATATGATGTCGTAAAAACCATGTTTTTTTTTATGACGTTGCAAACGCTGGCTAATCCTTACGAGAAAGATTAAAATAATGTACTGCGGAATTGTATGCCTATCTCCTAAGGATATCCATCATTAACCATTTTTATTATTACAAAAAATAATATTTTTTTATAAAAATAATGTTTGAAACTATTTTGAACAATACAGTATTATTCCTTATCCAAATAAATACGTTAGATACGTTGTGCATTTAATGTAGATCAACATTGCCTTTTACAACAAATCAATTAAATAAATATCTTAGTAGATGTTAGAGATTTAAAATGCGGGGGCAAAGCGGCCATGGCAGGAGCGGAGCGGGCCTATTAATATTGCATTTAAAGATGTCCTGTAGTTAATAGTCTTATCATAATAAAAGATAGTAAATAATAATAATTACTCCACACTGACCCCACATTAGTAGTATCTACATTACACCCATGCGAACCCGGGTCTTTACTTTGTACATAAAATACAGAATTCAAGAAATTATAGAAAAACGCCTTAAAAGTTTTGTTCTATGTATAATTATGCAGGCTTCAAAAGAGACAAATGAATTTTGAAACGTCCGGTCCGTCGGTTCAGAAGCCGGGGGGAAATGGTGGGCAAATTTCTTTTTGTCGGTACAGGGGAAGGGAGAGATGATAAGCAAATAAAAGATTTTACTTAAAATTATTTTCAAATTTAAACAACATACGCATTAAAAAGCTACCCTTGCTCCTTCAATAGCGTTCTGAGTTACCATTTTTAACGATGGGTTACAGAGAGCGGTCGTCGAAATATGCGTACACGTATATAATAAGTTAAATTACAAAAAAAAAACATATTTATTAAAACTAATTTGGAAGAATACAAGAACCCCCTTTATAACTGATTAACTCTCGCCAGTGACATGTCAAAATGTAAAATATTCATGTCTGTGGAGTCCCGTGAACGGACTTTACACAGACAACGTATTTTTAGGGTATAGGTTTAAAAAACCTGATTCTCTCTAAATCCATTAATAAATATAATAAAACCATTAATAATTTATATTCGAATTAGATTGCTTTGTGTAATTTCTTACACTACACTTGACTTTGAATTGCATTGCAACTGTTCTATGAGAAAGCAAATGGGTCGCCTAAAACTTATCTTTTATTTTACAATTAATAAAAAATAAAGACCTTGCTGGATGTAAAATTATATATTTTTTGTATAATATTAAGTAGGTACTTGATAAAATAAAAATCAAATGACCAATAAACCAAAGTCATTACACTATTTGTTGTTGCACAAACCGAAAAGTTCGCGGGAAACACTGACTGAAATGGTCACAGTTTAAATAAACGATCGTCAAAAAAATTTGTACCACAGACCAAACAACTTTTATGTGATAGAGAGAACCTGTTCATTCTTGGTTGATTGTTAATAAGTACCATAGAGCGAGAACTGTAGTAATCGACAAAACAGACTACATACACCTCTACGGCGAATCCCCGTAGCGGACTCGACACAGAAGCGCACTAATGTGCAAAGTCCGCTGAGCGGACCCGACACTGTCGAGAGGTTAATCAAAAAATATGATCCTGAAAGTAGCTTTGACGACGTAAAAAGATGAAATTCAGTAGCACAATATATTTCTATAGACGTTCTCATAAAAAAGATATAATCTTTATAGTCAACTGGTTCTGTGGTAAGGTGTTAAATTTGTATAAAGGAGTCTTTTACGGTCTTCTAACCGCTGTTTTACCCAAATTCTTAGACGTTTCCATTTTAATTTGGAAATTGTTTTAATAGCTAGTCCTAAATAACATGGAACTTCATCGTTTAATTTTATTACCAAATCGAAAACTATGTAAACATGTTGCTTCAGGTAACTATAAAAAACTATTTGGCTCGTCCATGTATCGGCACGAGCGACAAACCGTGAGGAAAACCCGACACAATCTCCATTCGATCAGATTTCAATAGTCCAAGAGGGATTGCCAGACCTTGATTATATTATACAAGATAAAAGTTTTTCTGCGAATGTGCTCAATTGAGATAGGAGGTACAGAAACCCTCCGTATATATTTAACTTGGATCGTTATGACTTTAGTAGCTAATAGATAGATAGTTACTTAACATTCATACCTGGATTGAAATTAGAAGTCACGATATTAATTGCCAAACGCTTTGTTGAACAATAGCAGCGATTACTGAGCGATGGTGATGATTATGTGTTGCCAGTCAACCGCGGGTTCATGACGGCGGCGGGCCAGCCGGACCAGTCGCGGTCGGCGCGTCTGTTGCTGAAGGAGGCGGCGAGCGGCCGCCTGCGCTGGGCTCAGTTGCCGCTCGGCGCCGAGCCTCAGCCGCTCGACATCGCCATCGCCGACAAGAGGAACGAGCGGCGGAAGCCTACGCCGAGGGAAGTCAGGGCTGTGGAGGTAACTATTATTAATTTTGATAGTTTAGTTTTAAGCCAACTCATCTATATAATTTGCTCTGTTACCACTGTATGACTTCTTCCGAACATGATATTTGATATTGTATACTAGCTAGTGTCTGCCATGTCGTCTGACGGATTTAGAAATTGGGGTAGTTTATTTTACTAAGAGCTTTTAACATTCTCTATGTCAAAGAAGCTCAATTTATGCCATAAAGCATCCACAATGTTATGATTAACTGAGTTATACCAATTTTGGAATATTTCTATAGGGTTGGCGGAACAAATCATCAGAAATCGACAGCGCCTTTTTCGCCTTGAGCAAGAGTACAGCACACGTAAAAGGAAAACCAGTTTTGGGGTAAGTTAGGTTTTTATTACCAATTTCCCTTCCTTCTTACCAATAAGCGAGAGTGGAAGGGGGGGGGGGGGCACTAGTATCAAATGCGGCAACCAGGATTGAAATTGCAGGAGCTGAAGGAGAGGCCTGACGTGCGTACCATATGTCTATCCAGCGATTAGACACTTCACTTTATTTTTCGTGTTGAAACCGTCACGGGTCATCACCACACGGTGAAGTGGTATACGGAATCAAATCGACTAAAACCACAAGGTGTTGCGTCACATGTAAGTTTATTGCATACCCTAGGAAGGAAGACTACAGAACCCCGGCAGACTAGAAACTCCACTACGACAGATCTTGGACTGTGCTACACCTAAAAATATAGAAACTAATTTAAACGAATATTGTTACCGAAATCACGAAATGCGGGCATTTGCAGCCAAGGGTATTAAGGAGCAAAATGCAGTTTTAAAATATCCACAAAACTGACCAAGATGAAAGGTATCTCGACGTTATTATCAATTAGAGCTAAGGGAAACCTAAATAAACTTTGCAGAGACGAAATGGCTACCCTGGATCCAAGCCAAGTGGTAATTCATAAAATTTGAGCATCTTTATGAGTTCGGCTAACGGTCGTGAAAATTGGTCTAGCATCGTAACCAGCGCCTTTATGAATGTTGGTTTAACTATCTACGTTCGGTGAATTCGTTTGAGAAAAAAGTGTTCTCACTGTATTTAGTACGTTGTAAAAAAACGACGTGTTACTAATGAGATTCCAGTATTTAAATTTGTTCCAATTTCAACTTTTTATGACAGAAATTAATATTTGATCTACTCGTAATCCAATAATAGCTTCAAGGTTTTATAACTCACGTAGAATTTGAGTTTCGAATTTGGAAGATAAAAAATATTTAATTTATTAACCACCTTTTAATTTTTGCGGTTGGATTAGTATGGTTTGTTGCCACCACACCGAGCTGAGAGACTGCTGTTATTCGCAAAATAACTTCTTTAGGACACGAAAATCACATCTACTAGCAAGTGTTTTTTCATGAAACTCATCATAACGTAGATAACTCAGTAATTTATCTTTTGATATATTACGTTTTGCTATTAATATGCAGTCTATACTATTCTATGATTTATCTTACCGTCTAATTCATCATCTCATCTTCCGAGCTTTTTCTAAACTCAGTTGAGGTCGGCTTTTCAGTCTATTATATATAGGTTACGGCTGAACTTCGATTTTTTACGTGGGGCGTGATGTCGAAGTTCTGAAGATAAACTGTTGTCGGACTTTTTAGGGCTCGAACAACCCGTAACGATTGCCACAGATGTTCCTATGGTAATCAGGACAGTCGGCTTAACGTGCTCTTCTAGGCACGGACCAAAAAAGAAGTACAAAAAAAAATGCACTTGCACTTATCTTTACTGTATAATAAATGATAAGTGCATATATAATAAATGTATATATAAGATCACTGAACCTTGCACGTTTACTAATACAGTAAGTTAAGTAAGTTCTTAAAAAAACAGTGCTTTAAATGTTTGTCAGTGAATGATGACGATCATAACCTAAGAGTTTATAACAGAGTGGAGCAACTACTCATCTAAAATGACTGACAGTTACTCGCCGATAACTGACTAGTTAAACTGCGCGGATTCTGGAGTGGATTAAGTTGTCACTGAGCCAACTATTACTGCGTCCAGAGTTGTCTATTCGCTCTTTCCTTTTGAACAATATTTGTGTGATTTACAAATCTGGTTATAGTCTATGTCTGTTAACTGACTTTTTAATCTCCGTTACCTCGTTTTCGATCTGTAGGTACTAGCTGCCCCAACAGACTTCGTTCTGTTAAAAGTTATTAGCCTGAGGCATCCTTATACGCCTTTGTTTTGTTTTCATTGACATCAAATGTTTGACTGGATTTTTCGGGAGAGGGCCGACCCGAACATAGAGGACGTCGGCGACGGTATCAACAACAATAAAAAGTGAAAGTAACTGTTGTGTTGCACTCTTACACGGTTACCGTAGAAGTATCTTTAACGTCTTAAAGTTTAGTTGTGCCAGGTGGTAGACTACAGCAGATTTGTGATTAAATCTGATTTGTGATTAAATCCTGGAGACCCTATTCCTCAGAAGAAAGCAGTACTATGCTAAAAGTCTTTGTTAATCCCGCTCCTCTACTGTTTTCTTTTGTTTATAGAACCAAGTAATGCGCATACCATGGTAATTGTTAGCAGTTATCGGTGTCTCAATACACTCACAAGACCGTCGGTGTCCCTCGAGCATTGTCGTTTTCCGGCAACTTTCCGAGTTGCTTGCACAAGTGTGCTTCAATCAACTATAACACAGATCACAAACCCACTAATAAACCATGGCGGTTTACGGTTGCGGCACGTACTTATGTACAGTGGTGCACAAAAGTAAAATAACTTTGAAGTCAGACGTCTTAATTAACTGGACATTATTTATGGAAGTTGTTCGTCTCATTTTATATTCATTTTATGTCCTAATTGCACTTACACTGTTCATTTTGGATGTACGACATTTACACAATTCTGACACAAGAATTCGCGTAGGCCCAAAAATGTGACTGTTTTGGTTTGAGCCTAATGATGATTTACGTTTTCAGTGAAATATGTGTCTTAACCATACAAAATATTAATTATATTTAAATATACACAAATATACACTAAATTTATTCTTACGTATTCTGGAATAAGGTTAATTTTATTACAGGATCGTTGGAGCTCAACCAGCTGGCAATGGTACTGGCGCTAAACCTTGGAAGCAAGAAAAGAAACACAAAAACAAAAATAAACGAGAAAAACTAAGAAGGGTATACGCATCTCTTGACGAACACTAATGCCAGATAGAGACAGAAGTACTACATTTTGTTCTACTGTGTATGAAGTGTGAAGAAGACAAACATGTACGCACTATAGGCTAAAATGTTATTTGAAACAAATGTCTGTGATTGGATTATGTTTTATATAACTTATTACTCTTTCAACTTGTAAACAAAAAAATAAATGCATAAAGGCCCCATAATATTTTAAAAGGTGTCTGAGTCGTGTATCTAATCTTAAAACTGTTTTTAAGTAGAGATTTTATTATTGAACTTCACTTAAAATGTGGTTTACCGATCAAATCTAGTGAAATCTTTACTCAAGTATAGATTTGTATAGATTTGATCTTTGTTTACGCGAGACAAGCTGAAACTAGTGTCAAACAGTGATTTCTAGGGCATTTAGGGGATATCAACGTATCCTACGTATTTTTTTTGGATAATTACGAAAGACTTACTGTATTTACGAAAGAATTAACATACATATTAAATCACTTCAATTTACATTAATTGATATTCAATTCACTTAAATTCGCTCGTTTAAATAAAATCACCACAACCTTATGGTTTATCACCAGAGCAACATACATTTTAGTATTTTGCTCTTGTCATAAACCAAATAGCGATATACAAATCCGAAATTTTCGAAATACAAAAACATAGTATGAAAATTCATCATGATAAGTAATAAATAATTTGAACGTTTCGTTATAGATGATAGCTAGTCATTGTTATTTTAATATTTATTACAATTAATTTTAGGCTCGCAACCAACTTGTTATTGTGTTTACATTGCTGCACTAGCCAATACTATATTATATTTAAATTCACAGAAATTATACTTGTAAAAGATTTTAACAATACAATTAGCTGCGTGATACGGAATAATAATGTAGATCATGCGGTAAGGTAATTGAAATCAGATAAGTTCACATCAGTGCTTGAGATTAGTTTCAACTGTGTAAAACTTAAAACGCATTCTATAATAAGATCGATGCTTGTGATCTGAATTTAATATTAAATTCAGATAATCAGAGTTTAACCGAAACTTGAGACGTCTTTTAGAGTATTGGCCTTAATGTACTTACGCAGTTTCTTTAACTAACTGTTGATAACTACTTGCCACGAAATAAAATATTATAGAATAAATAGCGTCTACGACTATGTCTGTGTGGAATCCGCCTCATACACTCGTTCACGTTTCGCCGACTAGTCCAACTAATAGAAGGCAAACCTTATGCTATCAAATGGGCATATATATTACTAAATCATAATCGAAATCGTACAAGTTACCGGTTGGCAAAAATACCTCTACTAAGCGTTTAAGGAAACCGTTGGCCGTGCGGTTTTCTTTGTTTCTACCTCGCAGTTCGCCATGTTTCGACCGCGCGGCCATAGCATTTAAGTTCTGTAGGTCGTGAAGTCCAAACATTAGAGCTTTTTTCAAATTGTCTACATTTCCTCCGAAATCGTACCAGTGGATAGCAAAATCAATAGGACCTCTACTAAGCTTCGTTTAAGAGAACTGCGTGGCCGCACGGCTGTCCATGTTTCGACCGCGCGGCCATAGGTAAAGTGTTTTACAAATACCTTCATAATGTTGACGTATTTTTTTCCACGACACTATCAGAGCAGTCGAAACGGGCACTAAATCAACTAATATATTTCTAAATACATAATAATATTATAGAAAAATAACACACATGGACAAATTAGCTCATTACAAAATTATTTGTTACTAAGTTTTGCCCGCGGCTCCGCCCTCGTGTCTGTCGGTAATCGCGGTAAAAATTGGCCATTGTCCTTTCTCAAGAATCAAACTATCTCTATACCAAATTTTATCTAAATCAGTTTAGCGGTTATTGATTTCCCATACAAACTTTCACCCCCTTTTCACCCCTTCAAAGGCACCGGGTCCGTTCCAGCCTGCAGATATTAAAATTTCAAAATAATAAAAATCTCATTTTATAGATCTCAATTAGCCCTTTCGACCTACGTTAATTAATTTATAAGCCCGTTTTTCGTTTTCAAAGGAAAAATAGAAATATAATTTTCAATTTTCCTCTACTTAAAATAGCCATATCTCTTTGAGAAATGATTATTTTTTACTCTACGAAGCGTGAAAAAAATGCCCTTGCGCTAATTTAATTTACCCGCGTGCTAATTCTTAAAAATATTCAATAATTAATATTGTAAACAGTAAAAAACCGTCGTGGCATTTCCAAGCCAATTATTTGCGCATTGCGCATGCGCGACAGAATCAGACAGAAATCAGCTGATGCTACACGCACGGAAGGACTTTAAAAAAAATATATTACTGTTTCGGGAAGTTTTTCAGTACTCACACTTAGTGCAGATTTTGCATTGCAAAGCTGAGCTCTACGAAAACGTTTTTTCTGGCTGAGAGGCTGGAACGGACCCGGTCTCAAAGGCTGATTTCTGGGATAAAACTAATAGCCTTTCCCAGGACTCGGAACTATCTCAATACCAATTTTCATCTAAATCAGTTCAGCGGTTTAAGCGTAAAGAGGTAACAGACAAACACACTTTCGCATTTATAATAATAGTATGACTTATTAAATTTACATAATCAGTCATTTCTTTTTAGGTACCTACACACACTACACACACGTGATATATGGTGGATCACCGATATGCAAATGTTGCTAATAAAAATAAAACAAACACTTCGAAGGCAGAAGAAACATTTATTATGATCTGAATTTGAAAGTGTTGACTATAGAGAACAGATTAGCATGGCTTGATACAAAACAGGAAATGGCATAAAACGGCAAAAAATGCCATGGGGATACATGAAACAAAACAGTTAAACTCAAAAAAAACTTTATCTCTTTGTGTACATAAAACTATAATAATGTGCAAAAACAATATAAAAATGTGCAAACGGCATAGATCCCGATGATAAATTAAGATGTTTTTATGCTTACTTATAAACTAGTTAAACATTCACGTCACATCAACAGCCTTTAATATTCCACTGCTGGACATAGCAGCTCTCCTTAGAAATGAGATTTTGGCCTACTATACTACGCTGGGCAGACGGGTTGGTATAGAGTTTGTGTCAAGTTTTCCCTCTCTTTGTAGTGCTGTTGTCCTGCGTAGTTTGCTCCCTTATTCGATTGTTACGACACCCACGGGATAAATAGGGGTGGTGACACGCCGTATGCGTCACCACACCGATAAATATTTTTACAAAACAGTTACACCTAAACATTACACAATATTTACCCTTTTTGGATAAAAATACAGCCGAACCTAAGCGAGAATTTAATAGATACAGTGAAGATTCGTAGGAGCACCATCTCCTTGTTGGTACAACAGCGGTGTTTATGCTATTTAATCTGCTGATCAAAAACATACTCATCGTATTCATCTCTTTTATTAACACACCTCTCGTTCTAGGAACAATTCCTGTAAAATTAAAAAAGAATATTGTAAGTCCCCCCACTGAAGAGTATAAAATAATAGATAAAATAACCCACTTGCATTGCCAAGACTCAACACACTCGACACGAGCATTAAAGGATTACACAAATGTTTGCCTACTGTGGTAGACGAATCTATAGCATTCATTGCAGCGTAGTGGCAACGGGACCATTAAACCATAGTGCAACGTGCAACTTCTGCGACAGTCAAATGAGAAAAAAAAGGGCCATTATTTTACATTAGGGAGTATCTTAGAGCTCCACTGGAATACCACACGCTTGTTTCACGGAGCTTTAGCTAGTTTTCTCATAGCATCGATAAGATCTAACTACATCAATTTGGACCTAGGAACCGATCAAAAACCGCACGCCGTCTCGGGTACTAGTAGCCGGGGAACCAGGAGTACAGTACAGACAGATGGCCTCACCTGTCACCCCCAGGCCTGCGCTTATGGAGGACGGAGGTCGTTTTGCGACCTCCGACGCCCTCCGGCGCCCCCGAGCCGTCTGCGGTACCTGGCCCGGGCCCGGCGGGATGGGAGAGTTCTAAACCTCCCAGCCCCGCTTCATCTCCATCGCACGCATAACTTGCTCGCAGAGACGCATCCCCTTTCCTTAAGTGAAGTGAACAACGAATTAATTGAAGGTAAGTGAGGTCATGACTGCGACCGAACCGAAAGTCAACGACAATTTAAAACGCGCGGAGTTTGAAATTGCTTTAAGTTTCGTGTGCTCGTTTTTTTTTCTTGGTCGTCTGTGGTTCCCCCCTAGGCGGGATGCCCTAAGGCTTAGGGTTAGCCTATAAGCAATTGCTTATCGGCTAATCTAGGACTGGGAAGAGGAGATCTGCTCTTCTCAGTCCTGGATTACTTGTTGTTCTTCTTCTCTTGTTGGTCTTCACTATGGGCTTTTCTACAATTACCATAATACCTCAGTCCGCACTGGCCTGGTTAGCATGAGCATACTTACCCGCAACTCACTGAATAAAGACTACCAGAATAGGTATACTTAGTTCGATTCACTGGATCTAACGACACTCTTTTACTGTAATTATGTAAATATTCAGTATTGGGAATTGGAAGTTCTACAAAAGTGCATAGAGATCTTCTTCTGACGTATTTTTATACACTTTTCACTTTGACGTCAACCGCGGAGAAGCAGACAACGCACAATCCTCAATACAAAGTTATTAAATTGGAAAATAGTGCGATGTTGATTACTAATCGTGTGATTTGTGGATGACGGTTATCGCGTTCGTTGAAGGATTTCACAGCAGATATACACAAAATGACAAATGTTAGTTCGAAAGCAGTTATTAAAGCTTTTTATAAATAGTTAGGTATTGATTTAATTCCTCACTTGGGTATCACAGTGTAAAGTACAACACTGATTGATTATCAAAGTGAGCTCGAGCATGAAACAAGAATTGCTTTATGAAATACCTTAGTTAATGTCTTAGTAGTAACGCAGTCCAGAAATGTAGCAATTACTTCCTAACCTTACAAGTAATGAGCTTCTACGTAGCATACAGCGTTATAATAAACACAGTTCACAAATATGTGCGGTATTCTC